ACCCACCCACCCACCCACCCACGAAACATTCAGGCACCCCAGACTCAGCAGAGACTCAGGTATGCGTCTCACCTTGAGCCCCGCCCTCCATTATCCCTCAAGGCTAGCCGTCTCATCTCACCTTGAGCCCCGCCCGCAGCTTGTTCACCACCAGCGTCGCCAGCGCCTCGCTCTCCACGTCCTCTGCGATGATCAGCAGCGGGCGCTGGTACTGTTGGGGGGGAGTTAAGAGAACGGAAGGAGGGCGCAGAGACATAGGCGTTGGCGATGGTTAAGAGTGGTCCAAGGTGGTGGTGCATGCTGGTGGAGGTGGTGGGAAATGGAATGGAGGCAACGAGGGGGAAAGAGGGGGCAGGGGGAGCCGGAAGGAGAGGGGAGCCAGGAACGAAAGGGAAGGGGGGGGGGAGAGGGGAGGGGGGGGCGAAGGTGGTGGAGGTGATTGTTACCTTGAGGGCGATTTCGAGGACGGGCAGAATGGAGCTGAGACCCGCGATCTTCTTCTCGTGGACCAGCACTAACGGGTTCTCCAGCTCCTGGAGAAAGGAAAAGGAGGAAGAGAGACGGGAAGGAGGAAGGGAGGGGGGAGAGAAGGGAGAATTTGGCACACAGAGGCGAGTCTCCTTCTTGTGCACGAGAACCAAGAGGATTCTCCAGCTCTTGTTGACAGTGCTCCAGGGCGGGGAGGCCACAAGGGCGAGGAATCGCTATGCACCTTAAGCAGCACTCATACCCCTGAAACCCCGGAACCCTGAACCCTGACACTCCATAGCCCTTGATCCTTTCTGAGGAAAGCAGCACTCACGCATTTCTGTGTCTTGGGGTTGGTGATGAAGTAGGGCGAGATGGCCTTGAGTTAAGGCACAGACGATGTGATTCACATCAATTGTGACCTTGGGTGCGGCTCAGTAAGAGCGGTCACTCAGACTCACGCATTTCTGCGTCTTGGGGTTGGTGATGAAGTAGGGCGAGATGTAGCCGCGGTCAAACTTCATTCCCTCCACCACCTCCAACTCGTTGTAGAGTGTCTTGCCGTCCTGTTATAGAGCAAGCATGGAACAATCACAGTAAGCCGAACTCGTTACCACACAAACTTGCGATCCATCATTCATAAATCATGAACAGATCGCAAGAGCGGACAGCATAGTGAGTAAAAGTAACGAAAACGAGAAGGAAACGAAACAAAAGGAAACGAAACACTCACCGCGACAGTGATGACGCCCTCCTTGCCGACCTTCTCCATGGCCCGCGCAATCAAATCTCCGATCTCCCTCTCGCCATTGGCCGAGATGGTGCCAACCTGGCAACGGAGTAGACGAACGAGGGCACGGAAGGGAGGGGAGCAGGGATGAGGATTGGATCTCTTCCTCCTCCAGTTCAAACCCCTCTTGCTATCACAAGTCCCCAAGCCACAGTTGGCAGTTCAGAACCGCTCCACCTGAAACTCTCGCTATCAGAAGTCTCCAAGCCACACGTCTCACCTGGGCGATCTCTTCTGATGTGCTGATGCGCCTGGATCGCTCCTTCAGCAACTCAATCACGCGCTCCAAAGCCAGCGATATCCCCCGCCCATCCAAGGTGCGCCCCCCGTACATCCACCCAACCAGCCCTTTCACCCCAAAGGGACCCACCTGAGCGATCTCTTCTGACGTGCTGATGCGCCTGGACCGCTCCTTGAGCAGCTCAATCACGCGCTCCACGGCCAGCGAGATCCCTCTCCTCAAGTCCATGGCGTTCATGCCCGCGGCCACGGACTTGCACCCCTCGAGGAGGATGGAGCGCGTGAGAACGGTGGCGCACGTGGTGCCGTCGCCAGCGGTGTCGTTGGTGGTGGAGGCGACCTGCTTGACGAGGCTGGCGCCGAGGTTCTTGAGCTTGTCCTTGAACTCGATGCTCCGCGCCACCGTCACGCCGTCCTTGGTTATTTTAGGTGAGCCATAAGACTGCTCTATCACCACTTGCCGCCCCTGGATGTTTGAGGGGACAGGGAGGGGGGTGTGGTGGAGAGCAGGGAGAGTAGGGACGAGGAGAGGAGAGGAGGGGGGGTAGGGGAAACACAAGGAGGCGCGACACAAGGTAAATCGAGGGTATGAGCATCGTGCACGCCGTCTTTGGTTAGTTAGTCTACCCGTACGCCTGCTCCTAAACCACTTGCTCGAATGTTATTCCACGTGACTCGTTGAACTACCTCCCCTCCTAACGTAAAATGCTAAAATAACCACACTTGGTAACCCACTACCGTAACCGCAGGTTGGTAACCCTGTAACGGCATGTACCTTGGGCCCCATGGTGACCCGCACGGCGTCAGCGAGCTGCTCCACGCCTTGCAGCATGGCGGCGCGCGCCTCCACGCCGAAGCGAATGTCCTTGGCGGCGAACCCGCGCTGCCATTGATGCTGCGCGCCGAGGCGGGGGGAGGGGAGGGAGGGAAGGGGTGGAGGGGAGGGGCGGACAGAGGGATGAAAGCAGGAAAGGAAGGGAAGGCCACAGGAACGTCACAGACGCGTCACAGCAGGAGAATGAAAACGGGCCAGAGTATACTGAGGGCAGGATGCGGTACTATTAGAGAGGGGGGTTTGGAAGGGCGGCGGTTTGAGGGGGGTGGGGTGGGAAGAGAGTTGTGTACAATGGGTGGAATGTAATTGTAAAAGGCAATGGTGGGGGTGTGATAGTAGAAGGAATCCGGGGGTGGGGGGGGGGGGGACTGTAGACGAGAAGCGCAAGGTCACGAGGGAGAAACGTGTGTGTGCGGTTGAGGCATCCGTACCTGAGCGACTCTGTTCGTTGCAGGCACGGCCACGATCGATGGAAGAGCAGGCCCCGTCGTCCGCGCGTCGAAGGATAGTCAATCGTAGTCGGTTGAAAGATCGGACGGCCAGAAGCAGCGCCGATGGAACCATCATTACCGAACAGCACGATTGAGAGGTGCGTGGATCACATCACAAGAAACAGAGGAAAAACGGAGAATGGATCGTCAGATAACTCGAAGAACTTGGAGAGGATATCTCGGAGAATCAGCATATCTCGGAGACTACGGGTAATTCGGAAAATCCACATGTGTTAGAAATGAAGAGGAAGAACAATCCGCGAGCACAGCGCAGATTCATGCATGTTGCTGTGGATCAGAGAGGCCAGCAAGCGTATGCCTGGTCATGAACATGTCTAGGGATCAATATGCCTGGTAACACCAGGACGTACGTGGTTTCATAGACGAACCTGGTGTCACGGGTCGGTGGGATAGGCAAGCCATGATTCTGAAACCACCGTTGTTGTAGGCAATGAGGCTGCTAGGATCCGGAAAGATAACACATAGATCCGTAGTCTTTTCGCCTCGGAGCAGGGATTCATTTCACAGCCTCGATCGCATGCACTTGTCACTATCTATCGCAAGCGATTAGATGTTTCGATCGCATGCAGTCGTACCTGTGGCTGGCGCTCCCATTATTGGTGGACGATCGGGCTGCAGCAGCCCGAACCGCTGGCGACACCCGCAACAAGCTCCTGAACATGGCTGCAGCGCCGATTTGAAACCCCTAGATTCTAGATGCGCCTGATCGACGCGAAGACGATCGGATCCGAGACGAGGAGGGAAAGATCGGACGGAAGACGTAATGGACGTTGGATTGGAGATGTTTGGGATGAACGAAGGTGATGGACGGACACGATCAGGCGAGTAATGAGCAGGAGCAGACCTGCTCGTAGGTGTTTCAAGGCAAGAAGCACTGGCCAGGAAGGGTCTGCTCTGCAGGCCAGAGACTGGCAGAGACGCTGCAACGAGAACGCTGGAGCGAAAGGCGGAATGCGAAAGCCGATGATCAGGCTGAACAACGCAACTAATGAACGAAGCTCAAAAAAGAATTCGGCTGAACAAGGAGCTACGGGCAAAGGATTTCAGGAACCAGACGAACCATAACCGAGGGAATTTCGTTATACGCTCTTTTTTTGTTACTGTATGTGACGTTAGTATGGGGGATTTAGAAATAGTGGCGGAGGGCTGCATTTGTGTCACATCTGTTTGGCCCAGAAGGTTCGATTTGCTTCCAAAACCAGCACGCAACTGCCACGTCACCGCCTCTGGTATTCGTGAAGACTTTTTCGATGCTTCCATAAAAGGTGGAAGATTCGCCTCGCAGCCATGTTTTTACCTTACTGAAAAATCAACACCACATTATGACAAACAGCATAATCTTTACATTCGCCTGAGGCGCAGCTTATTCAAACAAGCGGAGCAGCCAGTATCAAGGACATGACACAGGAAGCCGCCATTCCTTTCACTAATCGATAAAATTTTCCAGCCATTCTAGTTGATTGTCTCGACGCGAGCGTTCCGCGCTCTGTGCCGTAGAGTTTCCAATAGGCCCTTGCTGTATTGGAGCGTGACAGCCCGCATCATGGCTCCAGTAGCGGCAGTTTCGCGATCGACCGTCAAATTAGCCAGCCGGCTGCTTCTCACACAGTCGCATCCCTCGTTACCGTCGCCGTTCTACGCGATCCTCTCCCCGTGCCTTCACAATTGCAGCATCCATGACGGGACCGCACGTGTCAGGAATGAGCAGAATACCAGCGATCATGGCGAATTCTCCTCCGTCATTGGAGGTGCTGCTGAAGCTTCTTCGGGAATCAGTAGCTTGCGATCCGTTCAACCCAGTTCAGACCTCCAAGCGGATTTCGTCCGGTTGTCTGTTGGCGCTGTCAGATTTGACGGACACTATCCGTCTACCGGCAACCAGTCGCCCTCGCCGGCTAGATTAGCTGCTAGTCCGCTTGCGCACCAACCTTGCACTCCGTTTTTTCCACTGTCAACAGACCATCGCAGTGCTCTTAACGAGTTTCCTACTCTCGGGGCAAGGAATTTCTCCTCGGCTTCTCGTCTTTCCGCAGCCCAGGCTGGTTCTGCCGGCTCTGCGGGTGCTGCGGCTCCCGCTGCGGGTAGCGGAGCTGCTAGTAACGCGGATGTCGCGGAAGCAGCAGGAGGCGGGTCGGAACGGAGGCTTACGGATGAGATGATCGCGTTCGCGCAGACGTGCCTCGCGAGGGAAGGTTCAGATGAAGGTCAGTACGGATGAGCGTCAGAGATTCAGGGATCCCACTCCTCTGCTCGTCTGCCACTGGATTTGAGACGCTCAAGAGGGTTTTTCTCTGCGCCCTGCATCACGTGCGTCGCGAGGAGAAGGGTCAGATGATTTTAACTAGGGATGCGCCCTGCTCGTCTTTTCCGCTTTGATTGGAAACGTTTTGAAGAGGTGTTGGGGATTCTTCTGCTCTGCTCGTTCCCGCCTGTATTGACCACGGCAGGTCATGAGGCCCCTGGATTGACGGAGCATGGAGTGAGCGAGCAGTAGGGGAGGGGCTGGGCAGGGGCTGGGGAGGGGTGTGTATCTGTCTCCTCATTCCTGTCCTTGTTTGTCATCTGCTTGGTTCCTCTCCTTGGTGCAACTGCAGCGGCACAGGAGGCGATGAGGGTGGTGGAGCACGGGGCGAGCATGCTGAGAGCGCAGGGAGGGCAGGGAGGCGCAGGAGGGATGTTACTGAATGTCGTTCCTGTTCTTGAATATCATCTGCTCGTTTCTGTCGTTTGTGCTGCTCTCCCTGGCAGCAGCGGCGGCACAGGAGGCGCTGAGGGTGGTGGAGCACGGGGCGAGCATGCTGAGAGCGCAGGCAGGGAGGAGAGGGGAGAGGGAGGGGTGCTGTAGCCGCCTCCTGATTTTTGTCCTCATCTGCTCGTTCCCACCCTTTTGTGCAGCAGCAGCGGCACAGGAGGCGTTGAGGGTGGTGGAGCACGGGGCGACCATGCTGAGGGCGCAGGGCGGGCACGCAGCAGCGTCGCAGGCAGCGCGGCTGCTCCGCTTCAAGGCCGCGGTGCACCTCAGAGTGTACGTTCCGCTGCTGGCTTGGTGTACATAAATGGTTTGGTGCGAACTTTGAGTCATGTAAAGGGCACCCCGGCTGCTCCGCCTCAAGGCCGCGCTGCACCTCAGAGTGTACGTTTGCTCTTCTGGGGATTGGGTTTTCAAGCGTACAGAATGGTTTGGTGTAACTTGTGTGAGTCGACTCAACAGGCAGCACGGCTGCTCTGCTTGGAGGCAGGCAGCGCTGCACCTGAGAGTGTACGTTTGGTTTTTCGGGATTGGTTGTTGCCGTGTCCTCCCCTCTCTAGTGTCCACTTTCTCCCTCTCTCACGCCCGCGCCCCCTACCCACCCCCCCGTACCCCATGCTCTTCGCCCCACAGCCACGACAGCAGCGGAGCAGTGGAGGCATTAGAGGAGGTGGCGGCAATGGGGGATGCGGGTCTGTGCGATAGAGGTGGGCAGGGCGTTGGGAGAGAGGGCGTGGGGGTAGGGGCGTGGGGTGTGGGAGGGTTTGTGTGGGGAGAGCCGGAGAGGTGTGGTGGGAGAGCTGGGTGCGACGCTGCCTGCGACATTGAAGGGTGGGATGAGATAAAGATAGGAGGATGTATATAGGAAGGATGGTATTGGCTGTGGTGGGCTGTGGCATGTATGCGTTCCATTCCTGTGCATGGTGTACAGGACACCAGGTGCAAGTGGTCAAGGCTGCAGGAGCAATCAACTCAGCGGTCATAGCCGTGGTCACACAGTAGATTCAGAAGCAACTGTCTTGTCTAAACTCACCTTGCCTGACACCAGCTGCTTTTGAACCTCCCGTGTGGCCACGGCTATGGCTGCTGACTTGTTTGCTCCTGCAGCCTTGGCCACTTGCGCCAGTATGTCCTGTACACCATGCACAGAAATGACCAGTAGCTGTAATCCCATGCCACACCATGATGGAGTTGCTTTTGAGAATTCTCAAATGAAATGTCACGCCATGCCTATTACATATGAGGCTTGGGTACTATGGCGTGATTTCAGCCTGCTTATTATGTCTGATCAGCGAATCGTTGCTTGCCATGTGGCAGTTGGGGCGTTGGAGGAGGTGGTGCGGATCCACCTCAGCGGCCATGCAGTGAGTGTTCTTGTAACGAGGGCTGATTCGTTTTCATACAAGTGACTTTAGTACTTGTCTTGTGCCAAGGCTGCTGAGTGGTGCAACGCAACGGAATGCTTTCTAATGTGTGCGTCATCCTGCCTATACACGTGTTAAAGTGTTGCTGTTTATTTGTTCTCTTTGTAAGAATCTGCGTGATTCCGCGTGTCTCATCTCTTTGAGTTATTGAGAAGCGTAATAACAATTATTTTTTAAACTTTGTTTCCCTTGTGAAAATCCGTTTTTTTTTTCTTCGTCTTCTTCTTCTTTTTCTTTTTCTTTTCTTTTCTTCCTTTCTTTCTTTCTTTCTTGCTTCGTTGCATCTTTCCACCCCGCTTTTTGTCTGTCATGCACCTCTCTTTCTCCGTTTCTCTCTTTCTTTCCCGCCCTCTTCCCTCTCTCCCTACTCCCCCAGGACGCACATGCCATGGAGTCTGCTGGGAGAGCCGCTGCATTGCTGCAACCACCAACACCCGCCCCATCAGCACCACCACCATCCCAATCACCACCACCACCATCAGCATCATCAGCACCACCATCATCAGCACCACCAGGGCTGGCATTCCTGCGATTCAGAGTGCTGTGCTCTGTGGGGCTCGTGGAGCAACTGTGCGGCCACATTGCCACTGGTAAGCTTTTTTGTAGCTGCTGTTGGTAACCGTGTAACAGTGCTGCTGGTTATGGAGTGCTCTGCTCTGTGGGGCTCGTGGAGCAACTGTGCGACCATATCGCCACTGATAAGTGGCACCCACGTCACACCCCTGCTGGTAACCATGTGGATGGAGTATGGTAATAGCAGAAAATGAGTGTGGTACACGGGGGGAATTTATCTAGTACTCCTGAGTTTTGTTCCAACCTTTCTTTCTGTTTTCGTCCCTTCCATTCTCTGCCGCCCATACTCCTGCCGCCCAGCGCGGGAGCACTTCCAGGAAGCAGACGAGCTCGAGCCGCCCGACTGCAACTCGGTGCCGACCACGGGGCTCGCCCGGCTGGCAATGGCGCTGCACCTGCACTCCGTCGGCCAATGGGAGCAAGCCACGTCATACTACTCCCACCTTATCCAATGCTCCACGCCACCTCCTCCCCCTTCCTCCACGCCCTCTCCCCATACCTCCTCAACCTCCGCTCCATCCTCCGCCCCCTCCTCTCCTTCCTCCGCCCCCTCCTCTCCTTCCTCCGCCCCCTCCTCTCCTTCCTCCGCCCCCTCCGCTCCATCCTCCGCCCCCTCCGCTCCATCCTCCGCCCCCTCCTCTCTTTCCACCTCACCCGAATCATCACCCACCGCATCGTTCCTCTTGCCCTCACTGCATATTGAAGCAGCAGTGCGCGTGGGGGCGTTATCAGGCCTGGGGCAGTTGCTGCTGCTGCAAGGGTAAGTGCCCCGATTTTCAAATTTGGTTGTAGCCGGGAGTGGGGTTCTGCAAGGGTGGGTGGGGTGGGGTGGGGTGGGGTGGGTGGGTGGGTGGTTGAGTGGGTGGGTGGGCGGGCGGGTGGGACTGCTGGTTCTACTGGGGTGCGCACACAAGTGGGACATGAGGGACAAGAGGGACAAGAGGGACAAGGTGGGTCCTTTGAAGTCAGTTTAAGGCAGCAGTTGCCCCTTGCCGCTTTCTTTCAAGACAGTCTGCTGGTTCTTGTGGATGCTCTTGAACCCTCGCCCCGCCTCCTCTCTGCTTTGCACTTCTTATTTGAACCCTCGCCCCGCCTCCTCTCTGCTTTGCACTTCTTATTTGAACCCTCGCCCCGCCTCCTCTCTGCTTTGCACTTCTTATTTGAACCCTCACCCCGCCTCCTCTCTGCTTTGCACTTCTTATTTGAACCCTCGCCCCGCCTCCTCTCTGCTTTGCACTTCTTATTTGAACCCTCGCCCCGCCTCCTCTCTGCTTTGCACTTCTTATTTGAACCCTCGCCCCGCCTCCTCTCTGCTTTGCACTTCTTATTTGAACCCTCGCCCTGCCTCCTCTCTGCTTTGCACTTCTTATTTGAACCCTCGCCCCGCCTCCTCTCTGCTTTGCACTTCTTATTTGAACCCTCGCCCCGCCTCGTCTTCTTATTGCACAAGGCTTGGCTCTCCCTGCTGATTTTCTGGTCCCCTTCCTATCGCACTCGGCTCGGCGACTTAAGAGTCGACTCAAAAGTCACCTCTGAGTGTCTGCTGTCCTCGTCTTTTGAGTCGACTCAAAAGTCACCTCTGAGTGTCTGCTGTTCTCGTCTTTTGAGTCGACTCAAAAAGTCACCTCTGAGTGTCTGCTGTTCTCGTCTTTTGAGTCGACTCAAAAGTCACCTCTGAGTGTCTGCTGTTCTCGTCTTTTGAGTCGACTCAAAAGTCACCTCTGAGTGTCTGCTGTTCTCGTCTTTTGAGTCGACTCAAAAGTCACCTCTGAGTGTCTGCTGTTCTCGTCTTTTGAGTCGACTCAAAAGTCACCTCTGAGTGTCTGCTGTTCTCGTCTTTTGAGTCGACTCAAAAGTCACCTCTGAGTGTCTGCTGTTCTCGTCTTTTGAGTCGACTCAAAAGTCACCTCTGAGTGTCTGCTGTTCTCGTCTTTTGAGTCGACTCAAAAGTCACCTCTGAGTGTCTGCTGTTCTCGTCTTTTGAGTCGACTCAAAAGTCACCTCTGAGTGTCTGCTGTTCTCGTCTTTTGAGTCGACTCAAAAGTCACCTCTGAGTGTCTGCTGTTCTCGTCTTTTGAGTCGACTCAAAAGTCACCTCTGAGTGTCTGCTGTTCTCGTCTTTTGAGTCGACTCAAAAGTCACCTCTGAGTGTCTGCTGTTCTCGTCTTTTGAGTCGACTCAAAAGTCACCTCTGAGTGTCTGCTGTTCTCGTCTTTTGAGTCGACTCAAAAGTCACCTCTGAGTGTCTGCTGTTCTCGTCTTTTGAGTCGACTCAAAAGTCACCTCTGAGTGTCTGCTGTCCTCGTCTTTTGAGTCGACTCAAAAGTCACCTCTGAGTGTCTGCTGTTCTCGTCTTTTGAGTCGACTCAAAAGTCACCTCTGAGTGTCTGCTGTCCTCGTCTTTTGAGTCGACTCAAAAGTCACCTCTGAGTGTCTGCTGTCCTCGTCTTTTGAGTCGACTCAAAAGTCACCTCTGAGTGTCTGCTGTTCTCGTCTTTTGAGTCGACTCAAAAGTCACCTCTGAGTGTCTGCTGTCCTCGTCTTTTGAGTCGACTCAAAAGTCACCTCTGAGTGTCTGCTGTCCTCGTCTTTTGAGTCGACTCAAAAGTCACCTCTGAGTGTCTGCTGTTCTCGTCTTTTGAGTCGACTCAAAAGTCACCTCTGAGTGTCTGCTGTCCTCGTCTTTTGAGTCGACTCAAAAGTCACCTCTGAGTGTCTGCTGTCCTCGTCTTTTGAGTCGACTCAAAAGTCACCTCTGAGTGTCTGCTGTTCTCGTCTTTTGAGTCGACTCAAAAGTCACCTCTGAGTGTTTGCTGTTCTCGCCTGCTCATCTTGTTGATTCGAGCAGGGATTTCAAGGCAGCAGAGGAGCAATTCACAGCAGCTCTCAGAGAGGCAGAAGCCATTGATGGTAACTCCTTCCTGCCTCACCACCCTGCATTGATTCGGCTGTCTCTTACTGCCCTTTCACACATTTCTCTCCTGTACCCCCTCCCCCCCGTCCCATCTTCCCCTCCCCCCAATCCCATCTTCCCCTCCCCCATTCCGCTTCTTCTCCCTCCTGCTAGTCAATCATACCGCCATCTCAACCACACCACCATTTTCCCTCCATAAACACACCCCACCATTGCCAGCTTTGCCATTCATCACACTACCCTCCTTACCCCTTTTGAGAATTCTCAAAAGCGACTCAGACTTTGCCATTCATCACACTACCCTCCTTACCCCTCCCCCCCCCCCCCCCCCCCCCACCACGGCAGATAGCTCAGAGTTCAACCCAATGATGGGAGCCGTGCTGTCTCTGCTGGGGGATACATATGCCCAGCGAGGCAGGCTGCAGCACACGGGGGAGGGCATGATTGCTGAGGTAGGTGCTAGTATGAGGGGTGGACCATGTGGTGAATGAATTTTGTTGTTACATGATTACCTGCCTACGTGTGTGCATACATGTCTCTGTTTGGTTCCGAGCGTGCTGATTGCTTGACCCGTTTTAGCTGTTCACCTGGTTGCCACGTGGGATGGGAATTCCTATCAGGGTCTCTTTCGCCGGGCGCTGGCACTCCTGGGCGCATCACAGTGGGACAATCTGAACTCTTCCACCTTGCTTTACCGTGTTCCACCGTGTTGCATCTTGTTCCACCTGCGCCACTTGTGCTTGTCAGGGTCTCTTTCGCCGGGCTCTGGCACTCCTGGGCGCATCACAGTGGGACAATCTGGACCACAGGCTGTCGCTGCTGGCAGGAGCAGCAGGTGGCTCATCTGCAGATCAAGACGCGGACGAAGGTATCCTGTGTGTCACGTTCTGTGTGCTGCTGTGCTGTGCTGTGCTGTGCTGTGCTCTGCTATGAGTGTGCCAAGTGTTTCACCCATGAAGGAGTCTAATTTTGCAGATCCCTTAATTAATTCTTCTTCAAGTTGTTTCTTCTTTGTGGCATGTGCATGGGTGTGTGGGAGTGCAGAGCAGCTGAAGGATCGGAAGAACCGAGTGCTACAGCTGGACCTGATTGCATTCACACTCGGTGAGAACTGAGAGTGCCCTTTTGAGAATTCTCAAAAACCAGTCTCTTTTGCCATCCCACCAAAGTTAAGCATAGGAAGAATCGAGTGCCACAACTGGACATTATTGCATTCACTCACACTCGGTGAGTGCTCCATCATCCTCCCACTGCGTATCATTCCGTTTCCGCTCCCCCTTCCCACCTTCCCCTCTTCCCCTTCCCACCCACCCTTCCCCCTCGTCCTCCACCCCTCGCTCCCCCAGTCTGTGCTGTTTGTCATGCTTCCATTCATACCCACAGACAAGTCTGCACATTTTGTCTTCCATTCAGTCTGCACATGTTGTCTTCCAGGTTATGCACAGAAAGTTCCCTCCACTGCGTACGGTACTCTACCGCCCATCCATGCTACCCTCTATGCTGCCCTCAACGCCCTCCTCTACTGCCCATCCATCCTACCAGAGCGCTACGCAGCTGCACTGCAGGCCTTCCCCATGCAGGCCTTCCCCATGCAGGCCTTCCCCATGCAGGCCTTCCCCATGCAGGCCCATTCTGCCCCCCATTCTGCCCCCCATTCCGCCCCCCATTCTGCCCCCCATTCTGCCCCCCGTTCTGCCCCCCGTTCTGCCCCCCGTTCTGCCCCCCGTTCTGCCCCCCATTCTGCCCTCCGTTCTGCCCTCCGCTCTGCCCTACCAGAGCGCTACGCAGCAGCACTGCAGGCCTTTCCCATGCGGGCCAGTGAGGCGCAGAGCATGAGTGCTGCCGCCCACCACCTCTGGCGCTCCCCTCTCTCCCTCAACTCCGCCATCACCTCCTCTCGAGTATCCGCTGCTGCTCTCGAGCCGATGACAAATCCAACCGTTTGTGCTTCTGTCGCTGACAGTACTAGTGCTTCGCCCGGATCTGCTCCGGCAAATGACTCAGTTTCTGCAGCGCATTTCTTGTTGCCTGCACCGGTGGTCGATGTGACAACAGGCAGGGTGCTGCTGTCGTGACTTTTGAGCCGACTCTAAAGTCTCCTGCAGCAGTGGTCGATGTAACAACTGGTGCTGCTTTAATCATGTGATAATGATCGCTTGCTGTGTAACAGGATGTGGATGGTCTGTGCGTTACCATAATCTCTGCTGTAGGAAGATTGGTGAAGTAACTTAATATACGGTAGTGGAATATGCGTAGGAAACATTGGCACCGATACAAGAAAGTTAATGAGCGGCTCTGGGTCATGTCGCTGGAAAGCTAAGCTGGCCCCCCGCTCTATAGTTGTGTAGTTTTCATTCTTACAAAACCTTTCTTAATAACCATTGCAGCTCACTCTTTTGAATTAATTGCCTGTTTCAGAACCTTTGGCTACCATTGGCGTTGACAAAATCAGAGCTTGTAATGTGGTCAACGCTCAAGCACGCACCATAGTCTAGCGAAAGGTGGATTTTGTTGAGTAGTTTCAAAATTAAGTGGAAGGATGCCGAACCTTGATCAATAAAAATTTGTTTACAGCAGCTGAACCCAGCCGAATCACGCGTTCGATGCCAGCGGTGATTTGCAAAGCGATGTGAACCTCGAAATGGTCGCCGAGCCAGCTGTGCGAGAGACAACACACCAACAACAGACGATGTCGCATTGGACGGCGTGAGTTACCTGAAATATCTGCAGTGGCGGCGGATCGTCGGTCAACAGCTGGATTTATTGTTTTTTGCTTTTGGAAAAGCGGCGTGATTTTGTCATTCAGCATATTGACGAGGAGGTTCGTCTCAGACGGTGTACGAAGGACCCGCTTACACCGACCACGCCCTCGGAATCCTAGGTCCCATCGAAATCTGCTTGAGTCATTTGCGGCGGTCGTTTGGAGGGTTCGCCCATTTGGCTGGCACAAGAGCAAAATCGCTGCGTGGCAGAGCAGGATATGCCTCACGCGCCCTAATTTCAACTAGCCGCCATGCTCCTTCACGCGGAGTACAAGTTGCAGAATCTTGCGGAAACAAGATAGATTCAAGAATCGCAAGCACGCTATCAGCTGCAGAGAGCACCCCACATTCTTACAAGAGGTCCCTGTAGGCTGCCGCGCTTGCAGCTGCAGTGGTGTCTCTACAACCATCATGATCATGACGACGAACATACCTCGGCTTTCTCGCCACGTGTCGTTCAACCAGTCCAATAACGGACGCTTGCATGAGCTCAAAGTGCGGAAAACAGATTGCCTCACGTTGTTACGTAAGCACGGTATATCATCTAGGAGGTTCCGAACCAAGCGGGAACGGCGGCGATTGCGTGCTCTCTACCTCGTCCAAGTAGTCGTCCTTCCGCTAACTCGGGGTGATTGTAGGACCAGAATCGTCGGGAAACTCAGAGTGGTCCTTACAGAGTCCGATGGCTTGCGGTGGGTCGCGGAGTGGTTTGGATGGTTTAGTTTAGTTTACCGTGTTTTTCTGGCTGTAAGGAAGGGCGTTGGTTGAACGAGGGATTTATGCGACATGATGGTGTACCACAGGCAGTCTCGTGGTGGTGTTATTGAGACCCTATGCCAAGTGATGGTTAAGGGGTTTTGGGAGGAAAATATTTTTAAGAACCATCGGAGATAGCTGAAGGAAATTATTCATGGATGAGCAACGGACCGTGGAGCAGGCTCGTTTGGCACAGGAGATGCTTGAGAGGCTTCAAGGCGATTCCCAGCAACCGCAGCAGCTGGAATTGGCTGAGGATGCACAGCAGCGGCAAGAGCCGGAGCAAGTCCAGCAGCAACAGCAACAACAGCAGCAACAGCAACAGCAACAGCAACAGCAACAGCAGGGCGAGGAACAGCACTTGGAACAGCCGGAACAGCAGCAGCAGGGCCGGAAGGAGCAGGATCAAGAAGGTCATCATCAGCAGCAAGAAGATCAGCAGAACGGTGGGAGCGGATACAAGAAGAGGCGTAGAAGACGCGGGCAGGTGAAGGTGCTTCCGAGCGAAGCAGAGGTGAAGGAAGCAGCGAAAGATTGGCATGATGTTTTCAGCAGCACCAGCAGCAGCAGCAGCAGGAGCAGGTGCAGCGACCTCCAGAGGATTGCTGGCCTTGGCTCCTTTCGGAGGAGGCTTGCTTGGAGGATCTGATCAAGATCATGCTGCTGGTGTTGGCAGCAGCACACGGGGTTTTGAGCAGTTTTCAGCGCAGAGAGCACACCCACATGCACAATTTCACCCCCCGGTTTCAGATTTTCTGTCTCGAATCCCCTCCGGTTCTTTGCTTCCTTCTCGGTCCGCTCAGAGTGTCTCTGCTCAGAGCGCGTCCGCGCAGAGTGCGTCCTTTAGGACTGCATCTGCGTCATCTGGATCCAGTATGCATGGTTCCAAAACCCCTGGCACGAACAATTCTCTCGTAAACACCAATTCCCCGTCAAGACGTCACAGGAATGTCACTAACCGCACTCCCATGTCAGGCAGAGGTCAAACTACCAGCGAAGCAAGAGGACAAGCAGGAGGGAGGGATTCACCTAGTAGCAGGGGTCAAGAGAGGACGAATCAGACTGGTGGAGCCGATTCAGGGACTCCCCCTGATAGAGGCTTTGTTCCGGCGATAGAACGGGGTGTGGAGTGCCGCTTCTGCAAGCGGGAGTTTCAGGATCCGCGAGCATTGGGAGGGCACATGAACCTGCACAGACGTGGTATGCTTATTCCCATCTCCTTCCCTTTCCTTTTCCAAGTTTGGGCTGACTTTTTTAGACTAAGCGTAAGACAACATCAACCTGGTATGCTGATCTCCTTTTCCTTGTTTTTGAGGTGACTTTGAGACCAAGCGAAAGGTGAGATGAACTTGCAGAGACGTGGTATGAGCGTTCCTTTTCCCTTCGTTTTCAAGTTCTCAGCGACTTTGGGCGATGTAAATGGACCCGTTCAGGCTAACCAGCGCACGTGATACAGGAATAAAATTTCCATGCAGGATATGTTATGAGATGTTTCAAAAATGAAGGCTATGTGCATAGACCCGTGCTGGCGTACTCAGCTCATGACATGTAGGAACCCACTCCCCATATGTCCCTTTCGATTTGTTAGCTCTGGATAAGTGGCAAGCCAAATTTGACTGGTTTTACAAGTTTCCGGAAGTTGAGAATGATGCACGATGAAGAGCAAAATATCTCAAGATCCAGGGTGCTTTCTCTCTCGTGTCTTCCATCTTGCTATGTGCGTGCAGAGATCGACTTTGAACGGTTCATGGATAGCCAGCAAGAGCTGGAGCAGCGGTGGCAGCAACGAGCCCAGGCAGAGGACCAGGCTGTAGCAGAGCGGCAGAGGCAATCTCTCGCCGACCAGGCTGTAGCAGAGCGGCAGAGGCAATCTCTCGCCGACCAGGCTGCAGCAGAGCGACAGAGGCAAACTCTAGCCGACCAGGCTGTAGCAGAGCGGCAGATTGAACTCTCAGCTGGCCAGCAGACCCAGCGTGCAGCTGAGAGGCTTTTAGCGCAGGCTGCAGCATCGGCACTAGTGCGGGCGCAAACAAATTCACAGATGCAAGGTGCTGCAGGGACTGAAGGGGTTGCATGGACGGCAGGGCAGGAAGGCGTGGGCCAGCAAGGAGGGGAACAGCAGGGTGCGGGGTCTGGAGTGCTGGCAGAACGCTTACTAGGTTCACAAACCCAGGGAATTGCCGGGAGCCCTCACTGGCAGTTAGGAGGGTTGCAAGGGCGGGGTTTGGGGTTGCAAGAGCAGGTGATGCTCACAGATGGCTTGCAAAGGCAGCTGCCGGATCAGTTGGGGTTACTGTCGAACCCTGGTGCCAATTTTGTCATGTCTCATGCGTGTGTTGGCTCCTCGCGTGGATTAGCTCTAGGCTCAGAATTGGGCTCGCTTTTACCGACTTCTCTTCAGGTTTTAGACATTCAACAGTTGGCGCTGTTGCTGCAGCTATCACAGCAACAAAGGGGTTTGGTCTCGTTGCAGCAGCAGCAGCAGGATCAGGAGCGTCAGCAGCAGCAGCAGCAACAGCAGCAGCAACAACAGCAAAATGAGCAGGAGCATCAACAGCAGCAGCAGCAGCAACCACAACAACAGCAACAGCCGCAGGAACACCAACAACAACAGTTGCAGCAAGAGCCGCATCAACAGCAACAGCAACAGCAACAGCAACAGCAACAGCAACAGCAACAGCCGCAGCAGCAGGCACTAGCTTCGTTGCCACGGTCCCTTCCACTACCTCACTCACAGCAGCATCCCTCCTTCCAACCACAGCCGTGGGCGCTATCACAGAATCAGTTGCCAATTCTGCCACAGCTACAGCCACCAATACTACCATCTCTTCAGCCTCCCACTATTGCACAGCTCCCAACCGTATCTCTACTGCAACAGCAGCATCAGCAGCAGCTACGCTCCCTCCTCCGTCGCCCGTCTCTGCCTGCCTCTGTTCGTCCTGCCACGCGGCCATCCCTCACTCGTTTCGCCTCCCTTCCGCCACGTTTACCACTCCCTCTGCCCCTTCAACCTCCCAACCTCATCCTCCCTGTGCTTCCTCCCAATCCGCCTGCTCCAATCCTCCCCTCATCCTCGCTTCTGGCAGGCGCGAATCTCCCTGCCATGCCATCTGACACGCCTCTGGTGGATTTGACTGGGGAAGAAGCGCTAGGGAGCATTCCTGCCATCTCGCGTGCTCTGCTGGTGGGAGGAGGGACGGTAGGGGAAGCACTGGGCGGGGGCGTGCTGGCAGCATTTCCGCCTGAGTTTGTGGCAGCAGCAGTAGGAGCGTCAGCAACAGCGGCAGCAGTAGTGGGAGCAGCAGCTACAGCCGCAGCTGTAGCTGCAGCAGCAGAGGCTGGAGCAAGAGCAGCGGCGGCAGAAGTAGCAGAAGAAGGAGCAAAGGTAGCAGCACGTGCACGGAGGGCTTTAGCACCCGCGCAAGTGGCATTGGAAGGAGGAGGAGGAGCAGGTGTTGGAGGGACCACAGCAGGTGTGGGATCAAGAGGGGGAGATAAGGGAACAGGAGCAGGAGCAAGGGGAACAAATGGAGGGGGAGCAGGAGGAGGGGGTGGGGCAACCGAGGAAGAGTTAGAGGCATTGCCGTTAGAAATAGATGCTAATGCAGCTGCAGCCGGAGCGAGTGCAGGCAAAGAAGCAACAGCGGAACAAACACCAAGAGACCAAGGATCAAGGGAACAAACACTAAGAGACCAGGCTTTAAGAGAACAAGCTTTAAGAGACCAGGCACTAAGCCAAGGAATGCAGTCCCTGTCCGCCTGTGGCAGCCGACTCTCCCAGCGAAGCGCTTCTCAAAATGTAGCTGCAGGGGAGTCGATCCCACACCCAGGCACACGTTCAGGGCTCAGCAGCAGCAAGCATGGTAGCGCGAGGGAACACAGCAGCAGCCACAGCAGCAGAAGCTACAGCAGCGGGAGTTACAGAAGTGGGGTTACCACTGCGGCGAGCGGCAGTGACGGGCAGCCCAGCAAGGCCAGCACGTGCAGCAGCAGAATGAGCCGAGGGCAGAGCGTTCCTGCTAGCGTGTCCTCCTCTGTAGCTGCCCACCCTACCCCGTTTCTACCAATGGAAACGCCTATGGCAAGGCCTGTTGGTGGCGTGGGAGAGGTGGTGTCTCCTTCAGGGGTTGTGGCAAGGGTGGGATCTGGTGTGGGGACTTCTGGGTTGGCACCGGTGGTAGGTCAACAACGTGGACTGACATTGCAAGGGGCGGTTTTGCCTGCTTCTGCGTCAGGTTCACTTCCAGTTGCATCGACAGCAGCAGCAGCAGCAGCAGCAGCGGCAGGAGCAGCAGCAGCAGCAGCAGCAGCATTGACAGCATCAGGAATATCTGCATCACTCCACACTCCTCTCTGGTCATCGCAGGCAGGTCCCTTGCAAGAAACTGTACGTTCTTCTGCAATAGCTGCAGGAGTCGGCCCTCCGGTAGACGTTCAGCTTGATCAGTCAGCTCTGGCAACACTGCTTGCTGACCCTGTGCTAGCAAGCTTGCTGCAAACTAGATCACCTGGCTATGATCAATTGTCCAATCAATTCTCTAGCCACCTTTGGCCAGGGGAACCCATTTTGCCCAACGTCTCGCCTCAGCTACCCAACCCTTCACAAGCGCCGACAGGCCTCCTCGAAGGGATACGGAATTCAGAAGCACTGGTGACAGGAATCCTCTCTGCAAATCCTCTAGGAGGGGTTGGAATGGGTGTGGTTCCTGATAATGCCACAGACCCACAAGTTATGGCGTCTATACCGCTAGCACCCTTGGGTTCTCGTGAAGCTGCCGAGGATTTGACAAGAGGTGTTGTGGGGTTAGATAGCATTGAGGCTAGAATTAGGTGGTTGGAACAGCAGCTTAGGGAAGGTGGAGGAGATTACCATTCAGAGAATCCTGGACATAACTCAGGAAACAGATAGCACGATATGTAGCACCTGATCTCAGAGTAAATGCACTTTATTCATTTAAAACCTTACAGTAAATGTAAATTGTTCAGTATGGAATGGAATGTGCAGTGCAAGTACCAGAACGAAAAAAGAGTTTTAGAGGCTTTGAAGGCTTTTAGCTGCGCTGCTGGATCGACCCTTGGAGTATGTACTCCCACCTCAGCTTTGGATCTGCTTTAGGTGCTGCTGCAATAGAAACACTGTTATGAAGCCGCCATGAGCGTGCAAGAGTCGCGTGCTCTATTATCCCTTCTCCGGTCTGCGAACACTGAGAGGGTTTTCTCGCAATTATTATTTGATCCCTGGTTGGGATAATACAGCAAAGATTCTTCTAGGATTCGTAGCTCGGAATTTCAACGAGCGATGCAGAGTCAGCAGGATATGCAGTCGTCGCCGCGCGATGGAAGGAAGCTGCATGTCGTTTTTTGCCATCCGGATTTGGGAATAGGTGAGTCGCGGATGCTCGACCGTTGGACGCGTGAAATAGTCTCCTAGAAAGATTCATGATCGGAACATTTCCATGATTGGAACATTTCCATGATTGGAACATTTCCATGATTGGAACATTGTAGTCTGAAGAAGTTCCGTGTTCCGCAGCCGTTGCCGAACGGAAATGACAGATTAACCTGTGGTTAGCAGGATTCGTTGTCAGTCTCCTGTACTCCCTGTTTCTGTTAGGACTCCCATGCTATCTCTCACGTGTATGAAGATTATTTTTGAGACGTCTCAAAAATAATCTTCATACACGTGGAGTCTCCTGTACTCCCTGTTTCTGTTAGGACTCCCATGCTATTCTTCTCTTTCCGTCCATCTTCCGGCCGTGGTTTCAACTTCCTACGGCTTCTTTTCTCACCCCGGCCTCATCCATCCCATCCATCCCATTAATGCATCCATCCCATTAATGCATCCATCCCATTAATGCATCCATCCCATTAATGCATCCATCCCATTAATGCATCCATCCCATTAATGCATCCATCCCATCTATGCATCCATCCCATCTATGCATCCATTCCATCCATGCATGCATGCATGCATGCATGCATGCATGCATGCGTGCAGGCGGAGCGGAGCTGCTGATAGTGGTTGCGGCAGCGGAGCTGGCGTCAAGAGGCCACAGCGTGCGTGTCTTCACAGCCCATCACGACCCCCACAGATGCTTCCCCGAGACCATCGACGGTACGGTATGCTGTTGGTTCTTCTGATGGACTTTTGAAGACATAGCAGCAATTCTGTCCAGCACGATTGGAGTCTGAAATCACAAGCTGTTGCTGAAATCACAGGCTGTTGCTGAAATCACAGGCTGTTGCTGAAATCACAGGCTGTTGCTGAAATCACAGGCTGTTGCTGAAATCACAGGCTGTTGCTGAAATCACAGGCTGTTGCTGAAATCACAGGCTGTTGCTGAAATCACAGGCTGTTGCTGAAATCACAGGCTGTTGCTGAAATCACAAGCTGTTGCTGAAATCACAAGCTGTTGCTGAAATCACAAGCTGTTGCGTTTTACGTTTGTTGAGAGCCTCGAGGCTTTTAGATTCAGCTGCTAACATGGGGATTAGCCATCACCATGTCTTATCATTCCCTCCCCAACAGGCACCTTCCCTGTGCACGTGCATGGAAGCTTCCTCCCCCGCCACATTGCCGGCCGATTTCACGCAGTCTGCGCCTACCTCAGGTGCCTCTGGGCGGCGCTCTTCATCGTCATCTCCGTGTGGCTCCGGTGGATCCCAGCCGTTGATGCGATCATCACAGATCAAGTCTCAGCCGTTCATCCCATTCTCAGATTGCTGCCTGCCAAGGTGGTTTCATTGCCCTTCCCTTCCTCTTTCTGGTACCCCCCCCCCCCCCCCCCCCCCCCCCCCCCCCCCCCCCCCCCCCCACCCTCCCCTTCCCCTTCCCCTTCCCCTTCCCTTCCTGTTACCGTTCCCGTTTTCTCGGCTGTCCTACCTGTTCCGCATTCCTCCCTCCTTTCATCCTTGCGAGGCGATGCTTGCGTTACTTGGGAGAGTACTTAAAACGAACACAAGCGTTCCTCCATGCTTAACCCCCCTTAACAGATCCTCTTCTACTGTCAATTCCCGGATCTGCTGCTGGCTCAGCGAGGCTATTCTTGTGTTACTTGTGAGAATTTTCAAAAGTAACACAAACGTCCAACACCCCTACCCTACCCTCCCATACCAGATCCTCTTCTACTGTCACTTCCCGGACCTGCTGCTGGCTCAGCGGGGCTCCTGGCTGCGCTCGCTGTACCGAGCTCCCATTGATTGGGTGGAACAGGTCACCACTGGTGCGTGCTGTTGGCATGTGTACTGGCATGTGTGTATGCTGGCAAGTGCATGCTAATGTCTCGCACTAAATGTGCGCTCGCTGTACCGAGCTCCCATTGATTGGGTGGAGCAGGTGACCACTGGTGCGTGAATGATATGCTGGCATGTATGTTGGCATGTATGTTGGCATATATGCTGGCATGTATGTTGGCATGTATGTTGGCATGTATGTTGGCATGTATGTTGGCATATGTGTTGGCATGTATGTTGGCATGTATGTTGGCATGTATGTTGGCATGTATGTTGGCATGTATGTTGGCATGTATGTTGGCATGTATGTTGGCATGTATGTTGGCATGTATGTTGGCATGTATGTTCACTCCGTCTTCACTCCTCCTTCGCTCCGTCTTCTCCCCATCCTCTCTTTCGGCCCTCCCCACAGGCGTGGCGGACACCATAGTGGTCAACTGTCACTTCACAGCAGCCACATTGGAGTCACTTTTGCAAATGTTAAAAAAATATTTCAATTTTCTCTCTTTTCTCCATCTCCTCCTCATCATCTCTTTGGCCCAACAGGCATGGCGGACACCATAGTGGTCAACAGTCACTTCACGGCAGCCACATTCGCCGCCACCTTCCCCTCGCTAGCATCACACGGCATCCGCCCCGCTGTGCTCTACCCAGCCGTGGCACTCGATTCCCCATCAGCTTCTTCCTCTGCAACTGCTAGCACTGCTGGCGGCGATATTTCTGCTGCCCCAAGCCCTGCTGTTGACGAAGCAGAGAAGCTTGGGGCTGATCTCAACTGGTAATTTCTGGAGGGCTGCTGAGGAGGATTCAGCTGACTGGGCTGGATGGGATCATGGAATGGTGTGCACTGGGCTCATATCATCGCAATTTTTTATTGATTGATTTATTTATTTATTTTGGCCTTCAAACCTCTCAAAGCACCACTGCCATTCCATGTCCTTTTTTTTTCCCCCTTTCTCCTCCATATCATCAACCCTAAGCTCCTGCTCCCCTCCTACCCATCACTCCCCCCGCCTCCCAGCCCATTCTTCCTCTCCATCAACCGCTACGAGCGCAAGAAGGAGATCGCCACGGCCATCTCTGCCCTGGGGCTGCTCACGCGCTTGTCAGCACACACAGGCACTGCCCACGGCCAGGAAACAGGCAGCCAAGATGCCACTGCTGCTTTGGCGAAGGGACAGCGGCCTCGACTTGTGGTTGCAGGTGAGCTGGTAGTGGTGCTGAGAGTAGTGAGAAGGAGATGGTCACGGCCATCTCTGCCCTGTGCTGCTCACCCGCTCGTCAGGCAACACATGCATTTTCGGCAGCCAAGAAAGAGTCAGCCAAGAAAGAGTCAGCCAAGAAAGAGTCAGCCAAGAAAGAGTCAGCCAAGAAAGAGTCAGCCAGGATGGCACTGCTGCGCTGACAAAAGGGCAGCGGCCGCAACTTGTCGTTGCAGGTGAGCTGCTCATGGTGCTGAGGGTGAGGGAAGTGACGAGGACGGTAGTGTGTGGGTCCCGAGATTGTGATGCATGAAGCTATCATGTCCCAACTGCCCCACCAACTCTCAACCGAATGTCCTCCATGCCCATCCCCTTTTCCTCTTTCCCCTCCTCTTTCCTGTTCGCCACTGTCTCTCTTCATTGTGTATGAATCAGGTGGGTGTGACGCTCGTGTGAAGGAGAACGTGGAGTATCTGCAGGAGCTGAAACAACTAGCTGCTATGGAGGGGTTGGCATCAGATGTCCTTTTCCTCACGTCCATCAGCGACTCGCTCAAGGCTCAGCTACTTTCCCACTGCACTGCTGTTGTCTACACCCCTCCAGTGAGTGCTACTTAATAGATTAAAAGTTCTTCTGATGTTCTTTTTCCCCCATCCTCATTCATGATTTTCTCTGTTGTCTCGAGTTCAACTTAGCCCAGTTGCCCTTTTGATGTGCGCTGTTGACTTCTCTTATTTACTACTTGGATTGCTTTGTTTTGCAGAATTAGCATTTTGGCATAGTGCCTTTGGAAGCCATGGCAGCAAGCAAGCCAGTGGTTGCATGCAACAGTGGAGGGCCCACAGAGAGTGTCCTTGATGGCGCTACAGGCTTCCTCTGCGCTCCAAACCCCTCATCGTTTGCTGCTGCACTGGCTACATTGTGGTCTGGTCCTTCTCGGGCAGCTTTCATGGGTCAGGCTGCCCGACGGCATGTGGAGGAACAGTTTTCGAGGAAAGTTTTTGGTGACCGATTGCAAGAGATTCTTTGGAGGATGTGCTTGTAACTTGCAACTGAAATTGCTTGATGTTATGCAAGTAAACCTACAGACTACTTACCAAAACACAGCATGCCAGTGCCAGGGCCAGATTTGAAAGCTCCAGTCCTCATACCCCTAACCAACACCTCCTAAGGTCCCATACGACTGGAAAACAACCAAGGCTTGGAGCATCCACATTTCACAACTTGAAGCTCACAGCCCATTGGCAGCATCGCCCTCCCACCCGTGCACGGCCTGGAACATGCCGTGGGCCAGCGCATCCCTCTCGGCCACAGCAGCAGGGGACTCCTCATCGGCTCGCTTGGCGGGCACAAAGTCATCAAACGCCTCATACGCCCACTCAGGGTCAAACGCCTCTCCCTTCTGCTCCAGAAAGTTGTGCAGCGCACAGCACGCCCCCACCAACCGCGGCAGCTCATGCAGCTTCCCCTCAGCCCGCCGAAGCAGGATCCTCCACCGTCCCTTCAGCCGCCCAATCGCGTCCTTCCCCACCGCAGTCCCCTTCTCTATGCACTCGTTGAACGTTGTCTGGTACCACGTGGCGCTGTCTGATTGGGCGTACGGAACCAGCAGCCAATCCAGAAGCGGGTACGACCGCAACCCGATGACCTTGGCTCCCTTGAGCTCTCCAGCTTGTCCTTTCTGGTGGAGGGTCGACTGCTGCAACACCTCCTCGTCAGAAAGCGCGCCGGGCAGCCCGATGCAAAGGTCTATAAACTGCCCGTTGGCGTCGACAACCGCTTGTGTGGAAAGGGAGTAGGATTCCCGAGCGAGACGTTCGGTGAGCTGCTTGTTATAATACCTTACCATGTTGGACCGCGGGGTGTTGATGTTCAGGTGAGTTGTGTAGAGAGTTCCTATCAGCTGCCCGTTTCCCAGCTGCTGTTCCACAGAAGAATTGTTTTCCAGCCCGCACCGCTTCAAAAACTGGGAGGAGATTTCAGCTGCCCGGGCGCTGCCCGGCTCAGGCCAAACGACCACCTTGGGCAGAATAACATCGTTAAGAATTTTGAGAATGTCATTCCCCACGAAATGCACTGTCGTCCGACTAAGATTAAACCTTCTGGAAACCAGGTGGAGAGGCTCGGCCGTGGCGAGCCTCCAAATCGCCGCTCCGATCCTGATGTCCAAGAGGTTCGGGTTTTTTCTCGGCTTTTTCCCAAGCAGCGGCCCCACCATTCCACAGAGCTCCATAAACGTCTCCCGGCTCATCCTGAATTTCTTTCGGAACATTTCCGGAGGGTTATTCGGGTCAATACACTCCTCCCACCACGCGCGGGACCGTGGACGGGTTAACAGCGTCCGGTAAAACACCTGGTGCTGCGAGAGGGTGGCACCGGCTGACATACCAGCCATGCAGACGCGTCTCAGCCGTTGGATCTCCCGCTGATGGACGGCATCGTTGTGAGCGATGTCTCGGAGGAGATTGAGCTCAATGGAGCGCACAAGGGAGTGGTGGCGCAGCAGGTACTCGGAGCGCACCACTCGCAGGCGCTGCACGAAGCAGGAGGTTTCGTTGGCGGCGCGCTGCTCTTCCAGAAGGAGCAGGAGCACAAGGGAAATGGCATCCTCGTTAGAAGCGTTCTTGATGCAGGTTAAGAGGTGTTGGAATTCAGCTTCGGAGCAGAGGAGGGGTGAGGGAGTCGTGGGGATGGATGTGCGATGCAGGACAGCATTCTCCCTCTCGTTCACTGCATCCCCTTCTATTCCCCCCTCTCCTTCACCCTCTCCCTCCTTAGTTTTCCCTCCCTTCTTCAAATTCTCCAACCCTCCCTCATTCCCTTCCGCCTCCTCGTCCTCCTCCTCCAGCTCAACCGTCTCCAGCCGTCTCTTCCTGCTCTCTCTTCCACCAAACACCCCACCAGTTTCACCATCTCCTTCCAGCCCACCTCCTGTCTCCTTTCCCTGCCTCTCCCCATTCTCCTCCTCCCTCTCCTCCGCTCCCTCCACCCCCAGCCGAGCCACCTCAACACCGCCCAAATCAAAAGCGTCTGCTCCGTCTGCTTCCAAGCCTGCGACTGCCGAACCTACAAGCTCCAAGCCTGTTACTGCCGAGCTAAGACCTCCCTCGGTGGGAAAACCTTGCAGCTCGTGCTGCTGCTCCTCTTCCTCATACTCTTCCTCACTCTCGTACTCCTCCTCCTCTTCTTCCTCCTCCTCTTCTTCCTCCTCTTCCAACTCCACCACTTCCACTACGTGCTGCTGCTGCTGCTGCTGCTGCTGCTGCTGCTGCTGCTGCTGCTGCTGCTGCTGCTGCTGCTGCTGCTGCTGCTCCTGCTGCTGCTGCTCCTGCTGCTGCTGCTCCTGCTGCTCCTGCTGCTGCTCCTGCTGCTGGTTGTAGTATAAACGTTGCTGCACCTCCTGCTGCTGATGCTTTTCCTGTGCTTGCTGCTGTTGCTTCTGCTTCTGCTTCTGCTGCTGCTCCTGCCGCTGGTTGTAGCGTGAACGTTGCTGCAACTCCTGCTGCTGATGGTGTTCCTGTTCTCCCTGCTGTTGCTGCTGTTCTTGCGCCTGCTGCTGCTGCTGCTGCTCCTGCTGCTGGTGGTAGTATGAATGTTGCTGCACCTCCTGTGCCTGCTGCTCCTGTGGCTGCTGCTGTGGCTGCTGCTGCTGCTGCAGGAACTCGAGGAAATACGGCTGATCAAGCTGCTCCTGCTGCTGCTGCTGTACTTGCTGATGTTCCATTTGCAACTGTTCTCGTGTCTGTTGCTGTTGCGGCTGCTGCTGTTCCAAGAACTCAAGGAAATACGGCTGATCTAGTTGCTGCTGCTGCTGCTGCTGGTGTTCCATCTGCAACTGCCCTTGAGTCTGTTGCTGCCGGTAGGCCTGCTGCTGCTGGTACGGTTCTGATCGCTCTTGCTGCTCGTACCCTTGCCGCCGCTGCTGCTGCTGCTGCTTCTGCTGCTGCTGCTGCTGCTGCTGCTGCTGCCGCTTCCAGTTTGATTCGATGTTTTGCTGCTGCTGCATCATGTACTGAAGCAACTGATCTGGACCCGTTACTGGCGCCTGCTGCTGCTGCTGCTGCTGCTGCTGCTGCTGCTGCTGCTGCTGCTGCCAGTTTGATTCGATGTTTTGCTGCTGCTGCATCATGTACTGAAGCAATTGCTCTGGATGCGGTACTGGCGCCTGCTGCTGCTGCTGCGGCTGTTGCCGCTGTTGCTGCTGCTGATGATGCTGCGAGTGTTGCTGCGGATGCTGCTGTTGAAAGATGTGTTGCTGGAGCAACTGTTGCTGGTTCTGCTGCTGCTGCTGTTGCTGCTGCTGTTGCTGCTGCAGCGGCTGCTGATAAGACTGCTGCTGATGCTGCTGGAATTGCTGCGGCTGAAGGCGAGACCGCTGCAAGGGTGCCTGGCGATTGAACTGCTCATACACATCCTGCGACACTTGCTGCGACGCTTGCTGCGACGCTTGCTGCGCCACTGCGGGCAACAGCTGCGATTCAAGCAGCGCGAACTCAAGCGCAGCTGCGGGCGACGGCGCGGAAGGTGCAGAACGCGCAGAAGGCGCGGGAGGCGCGGAAAGCTGCGCTTCATTGCGCAGAAAGGGCCGCACGGCGGCCGCGGAACGGTTTGTGGCGGAACCTGCGGCTCCGCCGAAGGCGGAAGCATCCGGCGGGTTGAAGTGAGTGGGGAGGAAGTGGGAGATGGAAACGGCAGCGGAGGCGGAAGCGAGGGGAACGCCAGCAATGCCGCTGGCGGGAGCAGGCCAGGAAGCGGAGAAGTCGTCGCTTGCTTCGAGAGGTTGTGGATCAAATGGAAATGCTCCCTGCCGGTTGTTGCGATGATGACGGCCTAAGGAGTTGTCGTCCATCCTTTATCACTGACCAAAGATACCCTTATAGTGATCACTGACTAATTGCCCTTACAATGACCACTAACTGAGCTCTTTTTGAGAATTCTAAAAAACCAGCTCACTGACAAATTTCCCTTACAATGACCACTAACTGAGCTCTTGTGTTGCGCAGGAGTAGAAGCGTTTGTCGCTTCTAGCTATGCCTAGAGAGTAGCGTCAGAAAATCGCGCCTTATAACCGCAGAAGTTTGACAGTAGTTGTTTCAGACGCGACTTCGCTGGGGAATAGGCCCGCACCATGCAACCACGAAGCGTCACCTTGATGCTACGCTTCAGGGCCTGACTCGTCACAACAATCTGCGGTGGTTCGCATTTGAAATCAAGTTCAAGTTTGAACTCTCAAATCAAATTCTGAATGAGAAGGCATTAGGAACCGATACCGCCATGGTCTGAACGCTGGTGGAAGGAAACGGAAACCCTAGGGGCGTGGTACATGTTGGCCATTTTGTGAATTACGGGCGGTCGTTCATAAGTAGGACCCCCCCTTCTGAAATTCTGCTTTGGACCCAGGTTCCAACCTCAGTGTTTCGTTATAGTGAATTCTTTATGATATAGAATGACGACACTCGAGACCTTTAGGGTGTTTTAAAGTCGCAGCCGACATATACACAAAAATACCAGCGAAACCTGAAGGCATGATCCGCTAGGGTATCCCCTCTCGAGATCCACAGACCGTGTCTGGTTGGATGTGGGCAGGCCCAGTTTGGTACAATCTAGGCTGACCATTCCAACCACTTGCAGAGCAGGACGGGTAAGGCTTGATTACTGAACGCACTCCTAGGGTTTCATCAACCATTTCCGGCGTTCAGGCCATGGCGGTTTCGTTCCCGGTCATGTTCAGTGCTTGATTTGAGAGTTCAAACGTGAACCTTGCTCTCAATTGCGAACGCCTGCTTAGGTTGACCTGTCAGCCCCAAAGCGTAGCATCAGTGCGACGCTGACTAACTGGATGATCCGTCCCTACGCAGCAGATTATTCTAAGCCGCACAGCGTTTGAAACTACTAATTCCAGACTTCCACGCTAATCATCGTTTTTTTCAGTCACGCTTTAAGAACTCTAAGTTTGAGCATTGCAAAAGCGACAACGACCTCTACTCGTTCTAACTGGCACCTAACATCCTGAGGAGAGCTTTGTCCGTGATCATTCGGAAGGATCTCATCGTTAGTGTTTAAGGATGGACGGCAATCCTTTCGGCCGCCATCATCGTCACACCCAGCGGGGTGCATTTCCATTCGATCCACAACCTCTCGAAGCAAACGACGATTTTTCCGCTCCCTGGCCCGCTCCCGCCAGTGGCATCGCCGGCGTTTCCCCCGCTTCCGCCTCCGCTGCTGTTTCCATCTCCCACTTCCTCCCCACTCACTTCAACCCTCCGAATGCTTCCGCATTTGGCGCAGCCGCTGGATCCCCGGCGGACCGTTCCGCGGCTGCCGCGCAGCCCTTTCTGCGCAATGAGGTGCAGTTTTCCGCGCCTTCTGCGCCTTTCGCGCCGTCTCCCGCAGCTGCGCTTGAGTTCGCGTTGCTAGAATCGCAGCTGTTATCCGCAGTGGCGCAGCAATCGTCTCATCAAGCGTCTCATCAAGCGTCGCAGCAAGTGTCGCAGCAAGCGTCGCATCAGCCGTCGCAGGACGTGTATGACGAAGAGCAGTTCAATCGCCAGGCGCCGTTGCAACGGACTCACTTTCAGCCGCAGCAATTCCAGCAACAGCAGTACTCTTATCAGCAGCAGGAACAGCAGCAGCCGCCGCAGCCGCAGCAGCGGGAACAGCAGTTGCTCCAAAACCAGTTTCAGCTGCACGAGCAGCAGCAGCGGCAGCAAATGCAGCCGCAGCAGCTCCAGCCGCAACAAATGTTCCAGCAACAGGTTTTCCAGCAGCAGCAGCATCAGCCGCAACACTCGCAACAGCATCATCAGCAGCAGCAGCAACAACCGCGGCAGCCACAGCAGCAACATCAGCGACAGCCGCAGCAGCAGCAACAGCAGCAGGCACCAGTAGCAGATTCTCAGCAAGTGCTTCAGTATCTGATGCAACAGCAGCGAAACCTTCAGTCAAACTGGCAGCAGCAGCAGCAGCACCAGCAGCAGTTGCTGCAGCAGCAGCCGCCGCCGCCGCAGCAGCAGCAGCAGCAGCAGCAAGGGTACAATCAGCATGAGCGTTCAGAACCATACCAGCAGCAGCGACAGGAGGTTTACCGGCAGCAACAGGCACAGGAGCAGTTGCAGATGGAACAGGAGCAGGTGCAGCAGCAGCAGTTTCAGCATCAACAGGTGGTAGCAGCAGCAACAGCAGCAGCAGCACCAGCAACAGCATCAGCAGCTTGATCAGCCGTATTTTCTCGAGTTTATGCAGCAGCAACAGGAGCCGCAGGAGCAGCAGCAACAGCGGGAAGCGCAGGAACAGCAGCAGCAACAGGAGGAGGTGCAGCAACGTTCATATTACAACCAGCAGCCGCAGCAGCAGCAGCAGCAGGAAGAGGAGGAGGAGGAGGAGGAGGAGGAAGAGGAGGAAGAAGAGGAGGAAGAGGAGGAGGATGAGGCTGAGGAAGAGTATGAGGAAGAGGAGCAGCAGCATGAGCTGCAAGGTTTTCCCACCGAGGGAGGTCTTTCTTCCGAGCCTTCTGCACATGTTACAGCTTCTGCAGATGCAGGTTTGGGGCTTGTAGGTTCGGAGGCAGCGGACCTGTCACTTGTAGGCTCGGCAGTAGCAGGCTTGGAACTTGTAGGTTCGGCAGTGGCAGGCTTGGCAGCGGACGGAGCAGACGCGTTTGACTTGGACGTTGAGGTGGCTCGGCTGGGGGGAGAGGAAGCGGAGGGGGAGGATGGAGAGAACAGGGAGGGGGAGGAGGAGATCGGGCAGGGGGAGGGGAAAGAGAGAGAATATGGGCTGGAAGGAGATGGTGAAACTGGTGAGATGATGGGTGGGAGAGAGAGCAGGAAGAGACGGCTGGAGGACTTAGGACGGACGGAGGGAGAGGTGGAAGGGGGGGTTGAAGAACCTGAAGAGGAAGGGGAAGAGGAAGAAGGGAGAGAGGGAAGATCGGGAAAGTTTAAGAAACGAGAGAAACGTAAGGAGGGGGAGGGAGATGGAGAGGAAGGAGGGAACAAAAGTACCGCCCTGCTTTGCCAGTCCATTCCCACGACTCCCTCACCTCTCCTCTGCTCCGAAGATGACTTTCAACAGCTCTTAACCTGCATCAAGACCTCCACTAATGAGGATGCCATCGCCATGGTGCTCCTGCTCCTGCTGGAAGAGCAGCGCGCTGCCAAGGAGACATCCTTCTTCCTCAAGCGCCTGCGGGTGATTCGCTCCGAGTACCTGCTGAGGCACCACTCCCTTGTACGCTCCATCGAGCTCAATCTCCACCGGGACGTCGCAGACAACAACGCGATCCGCCAGCAGGAGATCCAACGGCTCAGGCGCGTCTGCGTGGCCGGCATGACAGCTGGCGCGTCGCTCTCGCAGCACCAGATGGTGTACCGGCGGCTGTGGACGCGGCCGCGGTCGCGTGCGTGGTGGGAGGAGTGTATTGACCCGAATTACCCCACGGAAACGTTCCGAAAGACATTCAGGATGAGCCGGGAGACCTTCATGGAGCTCTGTGAGATTCTGGGGCCGCTGATTGTGAAACGATCAACCAGAATCAGGGAGGCGATTCCTGTGGACATCAGGATTGGAGCGTCGATCTGGCGCTTGGCCACTGCCGAGCCTCTGCACTTGATCTCCAGGAGGTTTGGGCTCGGCCAGACCACGGTGCATTTCGTCTCGAATGACGTTCTCAGGGCGCTGAACGAAGTTGTTTTGCCCAAGGTGGTCGTTTGGCCCGAGCCGGGCAGCACCCGGGCAGCTGAAATTTCTTCCCAATTTCTGGACTTGTTCGGGTTGGATCACGCTTCGTCTGTGGCACAGCAGCTGGGAAACGGGAAGCTGATTGCAACTCTCTACACAACGCACCTGCCCATCAACACGCCTCGGTCTAACCTTGCAAAGTACCACAACAAGCAGCACACTGAGCGTTTTGCCCGCCCCTCCTACTCCATAGCCATGCAAACGGCCATTGATGCTAACGGGCAGTTTTTAGACCTTTGCATCGGGCTGCCCGGCGCGCTTTCTGACGAGGAGGTGTTGCAGCAGTCGACCCTCCACCAGAAAGGACAAGCTGGAGAGCTCGAGGGAGCCAAGGTCATCGGGTTGCGGTCGTACCCGCTTCTGGATTGGCTGCTGGTTCCGTACGCCCAATCAGAGAGCTCCACGTGGTACCAGGCGACATTCAACGAGTACATAGAGAAGGGCACTGCGGTGGGGAAAGACGCAATTGGCCGCCTGAAGGGACGCTGGCGGATCCTGCTTCGGCGGGCGGAGGGGAAGCTGCATGAGCTGCCGCGGTTGGTGGGGGCGTGCTGTGCGCTGCACAACTTTCTGGAGCAGAAGGGAGAGGCGTTTGATTCTGAGTGGGCATATGAGGCGTTTGATGACTTTGTGCCCGCCAAGCGAGCCGATGAGGAATCCCCTGCTGCCGTGGCCGAGAGGGATGCGCTGGCCCACGGCATGTTCCAGGCCGTGCACGGGTGGGAGGGCGACGCTGCCAATACGCTTTGAGGTGGAGCTTGGGAAATCGGTGGCTCGTATGGAGGGTAGTGGGGATAAGTGGGGAATGTTGGGGGGGAAGGGGGGGATTGATGGACCAAGGATAATCCTGTGCTGCTGCCTCATCACAGGAGCTGATGAGTAGAATGCAATCTGAGGTAAGATTACAAACAGAGTGGAAACCCTGGTCTAGTCTCTCTGCTAAGTCGAACCCTTCAAGGATCTTTTCTTTGGTTCTTGTTAGGACTTGCAAGCTTCACATAAGTCCATCTGTCCTAGTTGACACTTATTTCACTAGCAGAGTGTGAAGCTGTACATGTATGCGTCTTACAAACAATAACCCACCACAGCTCAAAACATTTTGCAACAAGGAGAATTAACTTCTGCCGCCCGAGCTTGCTGCTCCCTGTTTGAGCTGAGACAGCACCAGCAACAAAGGGTGTGGGCCGGGGGGGTGGGGGGTGTCAGAAGGTAGTGGCGGGAATTCACGAAATAGCGGGCAGGCAGACATGGGTGAAGGAAACAAAGTTGGGGATCGGACGATGGGAGGATGGGAGGAAGGGATGAAGGGATGGAGGGAGGGAAATAAGGAGGAAGGAGGGAGGGAGGGAGGGAGGGAGGGAGGGAGGGAGGGAGGGAGGGAGGGAGGGAGGGAGGGAGGGAGGGAGGGAGGGAGGGAGGGAGGGAGGGAGGGAGGGAGGGAGGGAGGGAGGGAGGGAGGGAGGGAGAGAGATGGGATAGAAACGCTGTGTCAAAGGCTGCTGGTAGGTACCTGTTCACTGAATTCTTTGACCTGCTCCATCAACGACTGCCGCTGAGCCACACCTGAAACGCGAACACGACGGACGACAACGCAAAAGCCACATAAGAAACTCCCCCCCAAAAATCTTCAACCTCACTGAGATTAAGAATGCGGATCTGCGACCTACCTTTCTGTGCTAGCTCCTGGAGCTTCTTGTTGGATCTGACAGCAAATCGCTGAAAGGTAGGGCTGTTCGCTAATCGATCAACGATCAGCTCGTTTGCGACGTACTGGATCACACGCTGGAGCCACGGGCCTCCCGCCACCATGATTGGATGTGGACTACTACTGACGTGACCAACACGCTACGCTGGTATTGAACAATCTAGGCGCGCAAAACGGCCTAGCCAAGCGCAATCGAAGTATGCGTATTATGTTTTGTGAAAACAGCGACCGTGCGTATTGTGGAAACAGAAATGAGGTCGCAACAAAAAAGAACCGCGAAGCCCCGACCGAACAGATGAAGTGGCGAGGAAGAAAGCTTCCAGAATTTCTGGAATCCTTCTAGAACCTGAGGTTCAAAGGGAGGGAGGGTGATGAGGGAGATGGTGGGTTATTGGTGGCGGGCAACCGAGTGTGTTTTGTTCGAAGAAACAAACATTTCATGTGGTGGCAAAATGACGTGCTTTTCCAGTGACCTCTTCGCTTGTGGTGTGCACAATAGAGGGAAGCTGCAAAATAGAGTGTGACTATAAAAACATTTCTGAGTGTTCTTCACCGAACCCGACCCAGTGATCCAGCACAGCTGAAGCGGGCACTTGTCAACGCACTGCTTCCCATCCAACCTTGGCAGCAGCAACTCTCCGGCCCTGCTCGACAGGCAGGCAAACACTTCCACGTCACTTTCGCCGCTGTTTCGATTTATGATTTTTTTCAACGGTCAGCCCGCAATTTAGTGTCTCTGGGCTTTAACGCCCCTCAACAAGAAGGGTTAAAGCCCAAGTTCTACATGGCTGTTTTCATATTCAAGATTCTTGAATATGAATTCGCCAAACACCATGTTACCACCTAAAGTTGAACTTTTCTTCACGATCAAGGGGGAGTAGTGTGCGACAGTGATCCGTGATTGGCCAGCGACACTCGAAGTCACACCGGTTGGGGGGTCCGCTGGCAGTGCAACACTGTTCACGCTCAGTAAACTTGAAAACCCTCAGTAAATGGCAAGCATCCTATACCTGGTTCACCCGTCATTCACCCCAAAACTCATGTACGAACACACGCGGCATGCTCCTGCTACATTCTCATTGGTCTAGGGTTAGGTTGCTGCTCGCTTACGTTCAACCAGTCGCCCTCGTGACGCCGTAACGCCTACAGTTCCTTGGCTCCCATTACTCGCTCTCGTCATTCACAATGCCACCCGTCGCCCTGTTTCTGATTTTCGCCCACGCTTCACCTACGCCGCCCACGCTTCTCTACGATTACCATGATTCCTCTCGTCGCCCACGCTTCACCTATGCCGCCCACGTCCTCGAGTCGTCCACGATTCCTCTCGTCGCGCGGTTTCTGTTCGTCGCCCACGCTTCATCATAAACCGCCCACGCTTCCCTCGTCGTCCACGATTCCGCTCGTCGCCCTCCCTTCTTTACGCCGCGCACGCTTCCGTACCTCGCTCACGTTTCCTCCCGTCGCTCTCATCCATTCGCCGCACTCCCATCCGCTCGACGCTCTCCCTTCCGCGCGTCGCCCTCCCTTCCGCCCGTCGCCCCGCCCATCCGCACGTCGCTCTCCCTCCCACCCGTTGCCCTCCCTTCGTCTCGTCGCCCTCCCTCCCGCTCATCCCCGCGCCATCCCCGTCTCCCTATCTCCCCGTCGCCCTCGCTTCCCGGTCTCCTCTTTTTCTCCGTCTCCCTGCCATCCACGCCGCGTCGCCCTCGCCATCCCTCCCGTCTCCCTTCCCATCGCAACCTTGTCACCCTCTCTTTTCTACCCCTACACACGCCCTTCCCTCCTCCCAATGATCGCCAATCGCCCCCACACTGCTTACCTCTCTCCCTCTTGCCCCCATCATCTGCTTCCCCCCATCCCCTTCCCTGCTTCCCCCCATCCCCTTCCCTGCTTCCCCATGTCCCCTTTCCCTGCCTCCCCATGTCCCCTTCCCTGCTTTCCCCCATTCCCTTCAATGCTTCCCCATGTCCCCTACCCTGCTTCCCCCCATCCCCTTCCCTGCTTCCCCCCATCCCCTTCCCTGCTTCCCCCCATCCCTTCCCTGCTTTCCCCCATCCCCTACCCTGTTTCCACCCATCCCCTTCCCTGCTTCCCCATGTCCCCTTTCCCTGCCTCCCCATGTCCCCTTCCCTGATTTCCCCCATCCCCTTCCCTGCTTCCCCATGTCCCCTTCCCTGCTTCCCCCCATCCCCTTCCCTGCTTCCCCCCATCCCCTTCCCTGCTTCCCCCCATCCCTTCCCTGCTTTTCCCCATCCCCTACCCTGTTTCCCATCCCCTTCCCTGCTTCCCCATATTCCCTACCCTGCTTCCCCCCATCCCTTTCCCTGCTTCCCCATGTCCCCTACCCTGCTTCCCCCCATCCCCTACCCTGCTTCCCCCCATCCCCTACCCTGTTTCCACCCATCCCCTTCCCTGCTTCCCCATGTCCCCTTTCCCTGCCTCCCCATGTCCCCTTCCCTGATTTCCCCCATCCCCTTCCCTGCTTCCCCATGTCCCCTTCCCTGCTTCCCCCCATCCCCTTCCCTGCTTCCCCATGTCCACTTTCCCTGCCTCCCCATGTCCCCTTCCCTGCTTCCCCATGCCCCCTACCCTGCTTCCCCCCATCCCCTTCCCTGCTTCCGCCCTCGCCTTCCCTCCCGTCTCCCTTCCCATCTCGCACCCTTGTCACCCAACCTTTTCTCCCCACCCAATACTCGCCTTCCTTCGCCCCACTTATACCCCTCCCCCACACTGCTTACCTCTCTCCCTCCTCCCCCCATTCTCTGCCCTGCTCCCCGCCTGCTCTCTCCCCGGCATCTGCCCCCGTATCCCCCATCCTCTTCCCTGTTTCCCCACATCCCCTGCCCTGCTTCCCCCATCCTAAGACCTGCTTCCCCCCACCCTCTACCCTGCTTACTCCCACCCTCTACCCTGCTTCCCCCCACCCTCTACCCTGCTTCCCCCCACCCTCTACCCTGCTTCCCCCTACCCGTCTCCCTGTCCCCAGCCCCTGTCCCCCTTCTCCCTGTCCCCCAACTCCCTGCCCCCCCCCCCCCCCTTCCCCCCCCCTTTTCCCCCCCCTCTATCCCTGTCCACCCATTCCCTGTCCACCCTCTCCCTTTCCGCCTTCTCCCTGTCCCCCTTCTCCCTGTCCCCCCCTTCCCTGTCCCCCGTTCTTCCCATGTCCCTTCCCTGTCCCCCTCTCCCTGTCCCCATTCTCCTGTCCCCATTCTCCCTGCCCCTCCACTCGCCTCCTCCCTCTCGTACCACCAGCCTTTTCCCCCTGAATTCCCCCTGACATTACACCCACCTTCCCTCACTCTTTCCTCTTTCCTCCCCCGCATACCCCCCAGTTTGCCTCCACATGCCAACCACCTTCCTCACAGCATACCACCTGCCTTCCCCCTCACATTCCACCCATCTGTCCTCCCCATTCCTGCCCTTCCATCCCTGCCCCGCTCTTCCCATGCCCTCCCTTCCATCCCCGCTCTCCCCATTGCCCTTCCTTTCCTTATTCCTTCTCCTCGCTTCCCTTCCCTTTCATGCATGTGCTGCCATCACTGTCTCCCCATACATGCCTTCACCATGTGCACTTGCTTGTATTCCCTTGCCATTGTTCCCTTCCACCTCACACCATCTCCCCCATGTTCCTTCACACTGGTATCCTTTCTGCCTACTCTAGTTTGCATTGAAGTAGAGGAGCAACAGTTGCAAGATGTGGCGCAGCTAGTGGGTGGTCTATACCACCACCTGTTTCGTGTGTGTTTTACGCAAGCATGGCACTGTTTTACTGTTGGAGATATGCATCTCAAATGCCCAAATGTACTAATGTTTTCAGCAGTGCAAGATACCGGCATTCTTCCAAAATGCTTGGGCAGTAAAGTTGTCACAAAAAGAGGCATGTTCGTACCATGCTTTTTCTAACAGGCAAGGGCTAAGGGGAGTAATACCATACTAATGAGCCTAGGCCTTGGAAACAAATGAAGGGAACTGATTACTCAATGATTATGCGATGGAATCATGGGGTGAAACGAGTTGAGGCAAGAAAAAACTTCAGTGTAGTCTCTGAAATAGCGAGGGGAGAGAGGGATGGGGGAAAATTGGGAAGAGGAAAAATAGGGAAGAGGTGAGAGAGAAATAGGGAGGGATAGCAAAGAGAGAAAACAGGTAAGAGGGGAGATAGGGAAGAGGGGAGAGGAATTGTGGGGGCGGATAGGGAGGGAAGAGGGAAACAGGGAAGAGGGGGGTTATGGAAAATAGAAAACAGGGAAGAGATAAAACAGGGAAGAGGGGAGAGAGGGATGGGGGGGGGGGAGGGAAGAGGGAAAACAAAAAAAGAAAGCAGGGAAGAAGGGACATAGGGAAGAAGGGAGATAGGGAAGCAGGGAGACAAGGAAGAAGGGAGATAGGGGAGAAGGGAGACAGGGAAGAAGGGAGATAGGGAAGAAGGGAGATAGGGAAGAAGGGAGATAGGGAAGAAGGGAGACAGGGAAGAAGGGAGATAGGGAAGAAGGGAGATAGGGAAGAAGGGAGATAAGGGAGATAGGGAAGAAAGGAGATAGGGAATGGAGATAGGGAAGAAGGGAGATAGGGAAGAGGGGGGATTAGGAAGAAGGGAGATAGGGAAGAAGGGGGGGAAACGAGGGGAGGAAGAGGGGGAAATGAGGGGAAGCAGGGGGGAAACGAGGGGAAAAAGAGGGAAAAATGAGGACAAGCACGGGGGGAAATGAGGGGAAGCAGGTAAAAACAGGGAAAGCAGGGAGGGAAGTGAGGTGAAGCAGGGAGGGAAATGAGGTGAAGCAGGGAGGGAAATGAGGTGAAGCAGGGAGGGAAATGAGGGGAAGCAAGGGGGGAAATTAGGGGAATCAGGATGGGAAACGAGGGGAAGCAGGAGGGTACAAACAGGGAAAGCAGGGAGAAAAATGGGGTGAAGCAGGAAGGGAAATGAGGGGAAGCAGGGGAGTAAATGAGGAAAAGTAGGGAGGGAATTGAGGGGAAGAAGGGGGGGAATGAGGGGAAGCAGGCGGGGAATCAGGGGAAGCAGAGGCAAAAAGAAGGGGAAGGTAACAAGTGGGAATGGAAGGGCAGGGAGGCGAGGGCAAGGGATGGACAGGTGGGAGAAGGGAGGCGGGAGTGGAGGCGCGAGGAGGGGTAGCGCGCCGAGGGTGCTGGCGCGTTGATGGCAGGGGAGGCGCGGCGAGGCGATCTGCCGCGAGCGGAGGCGTGGCGAGGCTAGCGGAGGCGCGGCGAGGCTAGCGGTGGCGCAAAAATGCCGCGGAGGCGCGGCGAGGCGAGCGTACGCACGACGAGGGGAGCGGAGGTGCGACGAGGGGAGGCTCCCCGAAATGAGGGGAGGCGTGACGATGGGACAGGAGACGCGGCGAGGGGAGGCGCGGCGACGGGAGGCGAGGCACGAGAGGATGCGCGACGAAAGGATGGGTGGCGCGACTGGGGGTGGCGCGAAGATGGGCGGGGGAACGTGACATTTGGAAGCGCGACGAGGGGAGGGGCTCGATGAAGGAGGGGAGGCGCGAATTGTAGAGTTTCTGCGTATTTTAGGTTGCGATGCGCCGTCGGGATGATTTCTTCTCGTAGGCTATCACAACCAAAGACTAGTGAGGTGGCAGCCACAGGGTTTTTTTCTCATTCAGATGGGTTGGTTTGTCGCACGCTCAACCGATGTTGCATGACGACTACACCATCTGTCGTTGCCTGAACTCGCTTTCGCCTCGCCCAAGTTCCCGAAATGATCCTTTTTGTATTTCGCCAACACGGTTAAAGCCCTTCAGTACTGTTGCCAAAAACATGCTGACTTCGGGCTTTAAGGGCGAGCCTGTCGAACGCGACGTTAACCCTTCAGTTTCAGCCCTCTCGAAAGTTCCCAGCCCCTTCTCTCACGCGTAGGCTTTAGCCTACCTCTAGCCCAGCCCTCCAATCCCCGGGTTGGGGGTTGGCCAAGAGCTAGGCTAGGGTTTCATACGGGAGGGAAAACCCACGCCATACTCTACGAAACTTTTCCCTCCAGAGCCCGTGCCCTATCCTCCCCAAACTCTGCCCTGAAATTGTCCTTTGCAACTGTTGACGCGTGAGAGAAGTGCCCGTTTTGTTTTCCTTTGGTTCACCCTGGTGCGAATGCCATCCCTCCCCCAAAATTTATACACTGCCCACGATGAAGATGGTGGAAGGTGGGGCTGCAACATCTCTTTCAGCCCCCCCACCTTCCGACCTCGGGCGGCGCTGCTTCCGATTTGTGTTGGGGGGGTGGGGGGGAGCCGAAACCACTTAGAAATCACCTCTTAGCTCTAGCCTAACCCTAGCGCTCCAAGGAGGTGCCTGCCTGTCGAGCAGGGCCTCCATTCTTCTCGTTGGAGTTTCTGACGAGTTCCAGCAGCAGTCACCATTTCACGCCTCTTCTCCTGCTGTTGTCATGGGCACTTCCGAGAAAGGTCTGGTGGCTCACGCAGCTGCTCTCAGAGCAGCCCTTGCAAACTCCCAGGACATGACGGACAACATGATATTCACCTTAGACTCATTCGACGAGCGATTGTCGGAGTTGGAGCGTGGAATCAGACCAGTCCAGGTGGAGTGTTGACGAATTCGTACGTGCTTACGGGTGTCTGTGGTTGCTAACACAGGCTTCGTGCAGGCATCCACAAGACATCACCAAATCATACACAGTAACGTGACCAAGGCGCTTGACGCAGCAACCTTCATGATCGAGCAATACGAGAAATTCCGAGAGGTAAGATGGTGTCCACAGCCTCTGGTGTTCCCGACAACTTCTTATGTGTGCCTCTTCAATAACCAGGTTGCGAGAATAATTGAGGATGGCGGTTCAAGAGATATAGTGAAGTACAGGCAAGCTCTAGACCGATTGGCTGGCATCATCGCATTCTTCGAGCGACACGCAGAACAAGGAGATGCTTCGCATGCGCTGTTTTGCGCGAAGAAGCTCATTCAAGAAGGAATACGGAACATGAAAGATGCTCTCAGAAAGGAACTGCTGGAACTGTAGGTCACTCTTTCCGTCTACGTGCTGTTCCGCGGCACTGACGTTCTCCGATTTTCGTCACTTACCCTCCTCGTCGGCCAGCAAATGGGTTGCCTGGATGTAAGGATTACCCACCTTGGTTGCCTTAGCAGGAACGATATTGACATTTCCGACGACGAAAGGGGAAACGACGGGAGTTCGGTTCTTGTCTCTCGCCTTGTTGGTTTGGTGCAAGCACTGGTGAAGCTGGGCTTTGCGGAAGACTGCGTCAAGATATATGTGTAAGACAACTATTGTGTTTCTGTGAAAAGTATGCCAGAAGCATATTGGACTGTGGGACTTACAGAGGTTATGAGCAGGGATGTGAGGAGAACCTGTGTTGAAGAGTTTCTACAACGTTCTCAGATTGACTGGAAGTCCTTTAAAATAGCTGATCCTGCTTCTTTGAAGTGGAAGGACATTGAAGGAAAACTTCAGACTTGGATGCACATGTCAGCTGTATTGGTCAGTATCAGCACCTTAACTTCACGTTTTTGCTTGGATTTGTTTTGACTTCCTTTTTCTGCATGACAGACGAGCACGGTGATGAGCACCGAGGGCCTCTTAGCAATGAGAATATTCAAAGGCATGGATGTCTTGGGGGCGAGGGCTAAGGCTGGGGCTTTGGCTTACACCGTGAATATTCTTGTTGACACTGGGGTTACCTTCACCAGTGTTCTCAAGTCACCTGAGAAGCTGTTTGCGACTCTTGACATGTACGAGGCCGCAGAAGAACTTTTGACACAGGTGAGCGATCTTGTCCAACTTCATTGTATTTCGCTTCTACGAGCAATCTAAGCTGGAACACTATTACATTAGATCACACTGGAGAAATGGGATGACGTTGTAAAGCGAGTTTTATCTCTTAAGGAGAAGTTATGCCTGGTGACTGTTCAAACCATTCATCAGCTCGAAGCAGCGATTGATAATGATGACAGCAAGCAGCTTTTGAATGGCACAGTTCACCCTCTAACCAGCTATGTAATCAACTACCTGAAGTGCTGCCACGAGTAAGGCGTCAACAGACCAGCCTTTTGACCAACCATCATGAGTGATTCGCCACAAAACAAACGTTTGCTTAACTGCAGGCGCTCTTCAGTTTTAGAGCGGATGTTTGTGGAAGTGAAGAAAGGACCTGGTTCGTTCTCACAGCTTACCCAATCAATACTTGAGATGTTGCTGAAGAACTTGGATAAGAAGTCTAAGCAGTACAAGGATACCAGCTTGGGATGCGTTTTTATGATGAATAATGTGCATCACATTGTGCACCAAATTCAGAGGTGGGTCTTTCCAGGATTTATTCCGCTAAAATTGGTATTTTTTTGTTAGATAAGTTGAAATTGTTTGGCATCCAGGTGCGAACTTAAGGAAGTTCTTGGGGAGGCGTGGTTGCAACAGCAAAAGAAATTTGTTCAGCAATCGGCTTCAGCCTACAGACATGCGGCTTGGGGCAAGGTAATCATGGGAGCTTTCTAACTGACGTGGTTCCATATTGATCACCATCCGAGTGCAGGTGTTCAGCCTTTTATCTCTCAGTGGAGAAGCAGCTGCAGTGCAAGCAGACTTGCAGTCGATCAGCAAAGGCACTATAAAAGAAAGGTGTGGCACATGGCATTCAATGGAAACATGTTGGTAGCTGCCTGCACTCTTACACCATGAAGGTTGTCATTGCAGGCTCAAGTTGTTCAACACCACGTTTGAGGAGCTAATAGCTAAACAGCGGCTTTGGGCTATTCCTGATGCGGAGCTTCGCACATCAGCCCAGCTTCTTGTGGGAGAACTGGTTGTCCCAGCTTATCGATCATTCCTCTTCCATGCGAGGTCTGGGTTCTGGATCCTTTTCCATTGAATTCAGCGGTCTAGGCTCTTGGCCTTTTCCTTTTAACCCTGTCATGTGTGCAGATCCAAAATGGACCAGCAGGTTCGTCATTTCCCTGGTTCCAAGGACCCTCTGGTCAAGCATAAGAAGTACAGCTTGGAAGAAGTAGAGAGCATGATCGGTGAACTATTTGAAGGGCATTCTGAGCACCTTGCAGGAACATGATGACCGTTTTATGGCAATCCAAAATTATAACCACAGAAGTGTTCAGGCTAGTGATGGCCTTCCCTAAATCATATGCGATTTCACACTAGGAACTCCTGAAATGCAGCTTGATTGCAGGTTTACAGCCCAGGCAATAAGATCTTCTGTGCCTTACGAGCGTCTCGCCCTCAATGTTCAGCATGTGTCACTCATTCACATGCGATTTTCCACGTGTGCTGTCGCGCTTTCTTCTCGCCTTGGATCCAGATCCGACAGCCTCCGTCTCAACATTATTCTCCTCGTTGGCATGCGGATCAGCAGGTGGGACACGTCGTGCATTGACTAGTTTGGACGTATGCCAGGGCTGAGTCATATCTCCGCGTGCAACTCTAGTGTCTGATTTTCTCAGTCTTGGACATTGGACGAGAGCGACACTCTCCGACATTGGATCATCCGCAGTAGTATGAACATTTGAGGAACGAACGATGGAGTTACTAGCTTCCTGAAGGAAGGGTCTCTAAGAAGACCACGTGTCATATGAAACGCAGATTTCGAGGCGTCGCTGTCGTCCTTTTGCTATGAATGGTTTCACGCGCATCCGGTGTTTAGCTAACCTAACGCGTCGTCCTCACATGCAGTCGCCGCCTACCGAGTCTGTCCGTTGGACTGGATGGCCGCGTGAGTTGCACGGATTGCTATCCACTCAGCACTTTCAATCAACCGCGTGCGATGCCGTCTCTCGCTCCGTTCTCCACCCCCAGCCCGTTGATATTTTTCCGCCCTTCCATTACGGTCGGCTGGCAGCAGGGACAGACTTCTCTACTAGAGCGTATATATTTGAGAGAGTCTCATTACAGTACCCGAATACGCCGGAGGGCACCTCTGGCTGTGATGGACGAGAGGGTAGAAAGGGCCATTGCTGTTTACTATTTGCTGTAGACATTTATCACCCAATGGAAGTCTTCTTGTAGGTCGGAGATGCCAGTGCGAGCTGCCAGCATCTCAATTCAGGACGAATGGCGGATTCTCAACAAGCTTCACGACCCATGGCGGCTGAAAAAGTCGGTTCCCTGCCCGTAGACGGTCTGGGAGCGCTCAAGCGGAAGGGTGCAACTCGGAAGCGGAAAAGATCGCGCGGAGATTCATTGCCGAGCGAGAGGGAGGTCAAGGCGGCTGCTGTTTCCGGTGATGATGAGACTCCTGCTGCACTTCTGGCTGCGGCAAGAATTCTCGCGCGACCGTCAGTCGGTTTTGCAGGTGTGTAATTATCAAACCCCGCGCGGTTTTGCTCGTCTTTCCTGCTCTGTTTCGTCTTTCAAGCCATTATAGGTGCTAAACGTGTTGGTACTGGTCTTTCTGTAGATCTCTGTGCACGGATCTGCCTGTCTTTTGTCGGTCGCCTTGTCAAATATGTATTCCTTTTCATGCCTCTTACCTGACAATACCTACTGCAGAAGCGTCTCGGGCTATCACCGCTGAGGAACGCCTTCATCAGGCCCTGGCACATCTGCCTCCGCCCTTGTCCCGTCTACTCTCTCAGAATTCCATGACAACTGTGCCTCTCGCCTCCTCACCCCAACTCCCTGGGCCCAGCATGACTGCCTTGACTTCCACCCCTCTTATGGCGCTGGAAAATAGCTGTGCGGACCTTCTTAAGGGGGTCCCTCCTTTGCAACCTTCCAGCAGTTTGGACCTTCTTACCGGGAATTTTCATGTGCGATCTTCCAGCCATGAAGATTCTCTCAACAGAACTTTTCCCTTGCTTTTATCCAGGCCGGTGGGGTCAGTGAACTCCTCAAACCCACCCACCCATGGGACGCTGGCACCGTTCAGCTGCATGGATCCAGCACTCACCTGGTTTTCTCCTGCAGACGAACTCCAGAAGCTACAGGCAGCAGCGAGAAAGCTTCAAGTGCCATTCACGTATGAGTGCAAGGAGTGTGGAAGGATTTTCAACCAGCTTCAATCTTTGGGAGGACACATGTCCAGACATAGACGAGGTACGCTTGCCACTGCTTTGCATAGAACCCACATCAATCTATTAAATTTTCACTGCTTGAACTGTATTTTGTTTTTGCCTTATGCGGCTTCTCATATGATTATCATTGACCCCAACATGCAGATGAAAGGCGGAGGATAAGGCGCAAGAAAAAGGTGGAAGCAGATGCTCGGAAGGTGGCACAAAGCTTATGTGAGCTGCTGAAAGCATCGACGTCCCCTGAGAGCTTTGGCTCGGCTGAATGTCCTACTGATGCTCTTGAGCAGAACGAGCTGAGGAGCAACATCCCAGCCATATATGTACCAGATGAGCAGCAATCTTTTCAGGAAGTTGTTGCATCTCAACAGGAGCTCCTGCTCTATAAGCAGTTACTGCACCATCAGCTCACCATTCTCCCAGACCGTCTCCTGGTGCCTCCTGCATCACACCTGCTGAACCAGGTTATTCAACAACATGAGCCTGCCACCCCTTCTGCAGCAGTCCAGGACAATGACACGCGTGAAGTCCTGCCAGTCCAGGAGAATGACACGCGTGAAGTCCCGCCACCAGGTGGAATCTCTGGGTTTGTCGGGGTGAAGAGGTGGGAGAACGAGTCCTTGGGAGGGAAAAGAGACGAGTTTTGGAATGTGCCCAAGGGATTCTGGTCTTCAGCTGAGCAGCATCAGGATGCAACTGGTAGTGATAGTACCAAGCGTGCTAGCTCGGGTGGCTCACGCGAGCTGGACATTGATTTGAACTTGATCCCTGCAAGCGATGCAGAGATTTAAGATGCGTTTTTGTATATATGATGGCACAATACTTAGGTTGTTGCGTTGTCTAGGAGGCGCTGGCTATTTGAAAATTTGTACTAGTTTTGTTCCTATAGGTGGCTGGCATTGCTGAATTGGTGGTGTTCTTTTTGTATGGAAACCAAAGTTGAGTGTTGAATTAAAATAATTGTTCTGCTTGCTCGAGTGCATGTCAGCACCTATTTTTTCCGAGTCTGGAGACGACACACCTATTGGCCCTGTTCTGCAGTCACATGCCGTGGGGGGGAGTAGGGGGGGCGAAGGTAAATGACGAGGGTTCCTAAGCAGTTTCCCTGTCGAAATCACCCCCAACCCGCTACAACCGAAAGCACGAAACTTCTGGAGCTGGGAAGGAAATTGTCGACGGTAAATGACGCATTTACCTGCTCAATTTCGCGCCCCACAGGCATGGGTACATCGACTCGATCAACCCTAATGAGGAGTGTAAAACATTGCCGGGGGGTTCAGCGTTTGAAAAACTAAAGGCAAACCTCCAACCCATTTTCCCAACCACGTCGTGCAAGATGGCTCGGCCTTGTTTTTCACGAGCGGGTTGTTCTTGAGAGGATGGGTTAAGCTCGACGTTGGTACATGTCCATCTAGGGTAGAACGTGGGTGTCCCCCCCCCCTGTACCTCCCGCCCATGTCTCTCGCCACGCTCTGAAAAAGCAGGTTTCGAAGGGCGGGGCGAGTGGCTTGATTTTTGCCCGAGGAGGAAGGTGCGGAGGGGAAGTTGGTAGTTTCCTTGGAGCCTAAACCACAGAGGGTAAGTGGCTGTTCTGTAGCCATTTCCCCTCGAACAGGTTCGGAGGGGAAATGACTGGCTCGGCACCGTTTGCTGAACGGTTAGCCGTTCCAAACCAAAAAACGAAGGAGCGGGAAGCTACCTATTTCCCCTCGCTCCCCCACCGCCAGGGCCTACAGAACAGAGCCTTGTCATTCCTGCGAAGAGCATTTTGTTGAATGCTTGCTGCTGTGTGCTCCATATGCCTTGAATTGCGCTCATCCGAGTCTGGAATCTGGATCTGCTCAACTCAACATACCTCTTGCTTGGTACGGTATTGTTCCTGTTAGCCTGTAGCTTCAACGCTTGCCGTTCATTTCCGCTTCTGGAGCAAATCGGAGGGTTTTACGTCATCTCCTTATTGTCACACATCCCCGAGCGCTCTACTGCTGACCTTTGGTAACACCAGGGGCCTCAGGAGCCCCTCTAGTGCCCTGCTCGCAGCTGTGCTGACCGGACATGGACAACGCAGCAACTTCCCATTAGGCGGTCGCAGCGCAGTTGCCATGCATGGACAACGCCCATCGCGCCGGCCCCTCACCATGTCGCTTTCGCTGCAAGCATACGCAAGAAAGCGTCGTTTCGTTGTTGCGCGGGCCAAGCAACCGATCCTGCGTGATTGCGTGTTCGTGAAAAGCAGACCAACATGCAAATCTCGTTGACGTGTCCCTTGAATTCCTCGTGCGATTTGGAGATTCCAAACCCGACCTGGCCGTATCACGTGATAGTGATCACGTTCCGGGAGTAGATTCGGCATGCGTCGCCCGTATTTAAAGACATCCAAATTCGTCGTCAAGTTGCCTCCTCACAGATCCGTGACGTCACTCGACCTGCAATCACCCAACGATTAGCCTCCGAGCGTGCTGAGATGTCGTCACGAGAGATGTCTGTCAGGCTTGCAGCTTCGTGCAGCCACAACGTTGCGAAACTGGCAGCACCCTACTGTACCTTACACAGATTCTTATTGCAGGGCTCATTGGAAACCCTTCCAGTTCGATCTCTTCACCCTTGTTTGGTTGGCAGCCAGCCACAGAAACTTTGCTCGGAAAATGGCTTGAACTGGAGCCGATGGCTAGTCTGGATAACAGCACTTTGTCTGACACGCGCGCAAAGCTTCCGAACTCCCAGTTAGCAAGAAGTGCAGCAAGCGAGTAGTAGTGTTTGAGTGCAATCTGACGTCTGACCCTTCGTCACCTTATCGAGGACCAATGGAGAGAACATCAGGCGCAACGGCTGGGTCCTCTGCGCTGGCCAAATCGTCGTCTCTTGTGATTGGCGCATCCACCTCAGCAGGCACCAGCGAATTTGCAAGCTCTGGCGCCTTAGAGCCTTCTGGCACCGTACCTGCTTTGGATCTTCCCTCGTCTGGTTTCGAGTGGACCTTTGGAGAGACTCCTTTTGGCGCCATAACTGAGTCGTTTCCCGAACATCCGTCTATACCACAGTCGCTGTCCCCGCTACAAGCACTCCCGCCTACAGCTGTGCCGCCAATCCCCTCCTTCGAGTGTTCTGCTGGAAGTACTACAGCTAGAGGTCTCAGCAGCAGCGGCAGCCGGCGTGCTCGAGTAGATTCAAAGCTACAGACTGAGGGTATGGCGGCGGGAGGAGAGGAAGGCAGAGGAGGGAGATGGGCGTGGGATATTCAGGAGGGGGGAGGTGAAAGAGAGCCCGCGGAATCTAAGAGAGGCTCTTTGCTAAGTGGCAAGGAGGGGAGGGGTATGGAGAGGGGTACGGAGGGGGATAGGGAGAGGAGTAGGGTTAGGGGAAGGGGACGGAGCGGCAATCGCAGGAAGCAGCCTCGGGTGTTTCCGAGCGAGGCGGAGCTTAAGCAGGCTGCTGCTGACACGGGGGAAGGTGGAGGGGTGGGAGAAGGCGGAGCAGGAGGAGGAGGAGGAGGAGGAGGAGGAGGAGGCAGTGTGGGAGTGGTGAGGGGGGGCGCTCGAGATCAAGAGAGCTTGTTACGCCTGCAACAGCAGTCAGGTCCTCCGGCGGTGCTGTGGTTACCGCAGCAGCCGCACCAACAGTATCAGCAGCCGCTACAGCTACAGCAACAGCAGGAGCAGCAACAGCAACAGCAACATCAACAGCAGCAGCACCACCAGGAAGAGGAATTGCAACAGTCGCAGCTGATGCAGCAGATGCAGCAGGAGCAGCAGGGGCTGATGCTGCTGCAGCAGCAGCAGCAAAAACAGCAGTTGCTGCAGCAGGAGGAGCAGCAGCAACAGGAGCAGCAGCAGCAGCTGGTGATGCAGCAGAAGCAGAAGCAGTGCCGATTTTGCGGCAAGAGATTTGATACCCCTCGGGCGCTGGGAGGCCACATGAACATGCACAGACGAGGTGAGGGAGGGTGAGGTAAGGTGAGGTGGGGCGAGGTGAGGTGAGGTGACACGCGAAATGGTGTGAGGTTAGTAAGATTGCTTCACTTCGGAGGTAAATTTGTCCTATTCCACCCGGACATTTGCTGATTGTGTTTTTGCGTAATCGTGCTTACACCTGGTTTGCTTGACATGTTTTTTTGTCTTATTTTTCAAAACAGAGAAACAGTACGAGGATCAGCTTGTGTTGCAGGCAGGGGAGAGAGCAGTTGCAGAGATGCGATCGCAGCAGCACCAACAGCAGCAGGAGGCTAGAATTGAGTGCTTACAGAAATTGCAGCAGCTTCAGCAGCAGCAGCAGCAGCAGCAGCAGCAGCAGCAGCAGCAGCAGCAGCAGCAGCAGCGGCAACAAGAGCAACAGCAGCAACAGCCACAGCCGCAGCAACAGCAACTTCAGCAGCAGCAACCTGGCTGTGTGGCATCAACAAGAGTGCTGCCAGCACCACCAGCGGCATTCACGCTACCAGCAGCACCAGCAGGGTTCTCGCTACCAGGACCACCAGCGGGGTTCACGCTACCAGCAGCACCAGTAGGGTTCTCGCTACCAGGACCACCAGCGGGGTTCACGCTACCAGCAGCACCAGCAGGGTTCTCGGTACCAGGACCTCCAGCGGGGTTCACGCTACCAGCACCACGCACAACACCATTTGCAACATCTACATTAGCAGCTCAAGCACTCCTCCCTCCACCTCAGGCGCCAGCTGAGCTGCTGTTCCCACACCGCCGCATGCTTCCTCGTTCCTCTGGATCCTCAACCGAGATGGGCAGCAGGGCAGCTGCTGAATTACCTCCTTTTGTTTTCACCAGTATGCCTCAGGTGGAATCAGCTTGTGCGCCTTGTGATTTGTCTCCGCCATTGTTCACACAGTCGAGGCCACAGGAGCTCCCAGATCTAAGATTCCATCAACAGGCACCACCGACTGTGTCCTCTCGATTCCATGAGCAGGCACCACCATCCATATCATCTCTGCCTCTCACACCCTTGCAGCACACGTCATCAGCCCAGACGCGGCTACCACAACCACCCAGCAACGTCTTAGCATCCGTGCCCATCCCCTCCGAGAGCCCCTTCCTCTCTGCCCTTACACCTGAGTTTCTGGAGTCTCTCTTCCTTCAAACGCATGTTCCAGGAACATTCGTGCCGGCCACTACAGCCCCCGCAGCCCCCACAGTCCCCACAGGCTCCAGCGCTGCTACAGCCACTACAGCCCCTCCTTCAGCCCCTGTAGTTGGCTCTGCCTCTTCATCCTTGCCTCAACTTCCCAGTTACGTACTTCCGCCTGAGCTGCAAGTTCCCTTCTCTCACCCTCCTGCCTTGCTCCCGCCTCAGCCCCCTCTGTCTCAGCCCCCTCTGTCTCAGCCCCCTCTGTCTCAGCCCCCTCTGCCTCAGCCCCCTCTGTCTCAGCCCCCTCTGCCTCAGCCCCCTCTGTCTCAGCCCCCTCTGTCTCAGCCCCCTCTGTCTCAGCCCCCTCTGCCTCAGCCCCCTCTGTCTCAGCCCCCTCTGTCTCAGCCCCCTCTGTCTCAGCCCCCTCTGCACCAACTTCCTCTGCCTCAGCCCTCTGCCTGGCTGTCTCCTATATCTCAACCTCCGTCCAAAGGGCCGCCCATGTGGCAGGCTTCTCATCCTGGCCCTCGGCCTCGTGATTTTCTGTTTCATGGTTTACATCCGCATTCTCTGAATTTGCATGATCCTAGGGATACACAATCGCAGGCATGGCTGCGACCGCACAGGTTGGAGCAGAGGCAGGGTCTGTGGGAGCAGCAGCAACAGCAGCAGCAATTGCGACAGGCACAGCAGCAGCAATTGCAACAGCCACAGC